GGGTTCGATTCCCAGTCAGGGCACATACCTGGGTTGTCAGTCGGATCCCTGGTTGGGGCATTATGGGAAGCGGCCAATCAATGTTTCTCACATCAGTGTTTATCTCCCTCCTCCTCCCCTTTCTCTAAAAAAAAATAAATGAATAAATTGGTGGGAATATGTCCTTGGGTGAGGATTTAAAAATAAATTTCCCAGTGGAACTGCTGAGAGCAGTAATGTATGGATAATTTATTGGGTATTGCAAAGCCCTCCAAATAGTGGTTATAGTAACTATAAAATATTAACTATAATATTTTGTACAGAAGCATATGAGAGTTCCCCTTTCTTCAGATTTTCATCACACTTGGGATTGTCAGATTTTTAATGGTTGCCAATATATTGGGTGTAAAATGGTATCTTGATTTATTTTGCATTACCCTGAATACAGTTGAGGTTGAGTATGTTTAATGGCTCTATAGGTTTCCTTTTTGATGAATGGCTTCTTCATATCTTTTATGTAATTATATTTCAGATTGTTTGATGATATCTTACTGAATTGTTGGAGTTTAAATAGTATTTTCTGGATGTTAATCCTTTCTTGGTTCATCTTGTGTCCTGCATTTTCATCTGGTATCATAAACCCATTTCTATTCCAGTGTTATGAAGATATTCTTCTACATTATTTATTTTAAATGGTGAAATACACCAGAATAAGTACAATAAAATAAACAAACTATTGCAAAATTAACACCTGTATAAGCTTTGCACAAGTTAAGAAATGGAACACTGCCAGCACCTTGCAATCCCCTAGTATTCCTCTTCCCAATTTCAATTCCCCTTTCTTCCCCCAGCGGTAACCGTTTTCTTGACAATTATGATACTCAGTTTCATGGTTTTCTTCATAGTTTTACCCCTATGTTCTATATTTTCTTTAAGCGTTTTACTATTTTCTCTTAACATTTAGCATATGGAATTGTGTGTGTGTGTGTGTGTGTGTGTGTGTGTGTGCGTAATGTGAGGTAGGAATCTAATTTTGTATTTTTCCATATCGTCAGCCAATTTGTCCCAGAGCTGTTTATTTAATAAGGCCATTCTTTCCTAACAAATTTGTAATGTCAACTCTGTAACATACCAAGTTTCTGGGACCCCTTTTCTATCCCACTGGTCTACTTATTTGTTTTTTTGTACTTATACCATGCTGCTTTTATTTCTGTAGCTTTTTACTAAATCAGTATTTGGTATGGCAAGTCCCTTATCTGTATTTTTCTTCAAAATTGCATCGATTACTTCTGGTTAATTCTTTCAAGCCAGAATTTTAAGGCCAGTTTATCAAGTATCATCAAAAACCCTTTTGAAATTTCGATTGAAACTTCATTGAATGTATACATTAATTTAGAGAAAAATGCCATCTTTATATGCCTGAATTTTTCCATTCACGAACATGTTATAATCTCTCCATTTCTGTAGGTCATTTTTGTGTGTGTTGGAAGTAAGTTTTCTAATTTTCTCCAAAAAGATAATGCACATCTTTTGTTAATCTCTTGATATCATTGTTATTATTTATTATAGCAAGCAGATGCTATATGTTTATATTTACATTTTTAGATTGTTATATGATTTATAAAGAAATGCTACTGATATTTATATATATAATCCAGCAACTTTACTTTTATTAATTATAAAAGTTTGTCTTTAGATATTCTTGAATTTTTAGAATGTGGTCAACCATGTCAGCTGTGATGATTCCATCTTTGTTTTTTCATTCCCAATTTTTATAGTAATTCTTTTGTTTACTTAACTTGTTTTGGGCTCTCCATTACCAGGTTGAATGGGAGTGGGTGGTGATAGTGGCAAAGTTGTCTTGTCCTTGGTTTTAGAATTATATTTTCTAAAATTTCACTCTTAAGTATGTTTGCTGTAGATTTTTGGTAGCTAGGCACTATTTATCATTTTAAAGACGTTCCCATCTATTCTTAAACATTCTTCAATGTTGAATGTCATTTATACTTTTATCTTCCTTTGAAAAGATGAAAGTAACGAACTTTTAAAAGAAAGTAACACTTCTCTATTCTGTGAATATTTTTGATTGCAGGTGCTTATTGAGAGTGAGCAAATGAGAAAAGAAGCTGATGACTCAGGCCCACTCACTGAACTGGAGCACTGGAAGCGCATGTCAGCCAAATTCAATTACATCATTGAACAGATTAAAGGGCCGAGTTGTAAGGCTGTCATAAATGTGCTTAATGTTGCACACTCCAAACTGTTAAAGGTAAAAGGCCTGTATTTTAAAGTTTGATATACTTCAGAACAGCCAACTAGAAAATTATTCTTCTTGAACTGCTTCTTTGCATCATATATGAACATCATGTATGCAGAAGTATTCATCTTTGAGTAAGGCTTTCTCATATAATAAGTTATTTCCAGGAGAGGGAAATGAAGTATAGAAATGAAGATTTAGTCCTCAATATTTTGCACACCCATTTTAACAGTACTACTATAAAATGATTGCTATTAAAAATTTTTTTTTGAAGTTGTAAATCAACAGAGGCTTGTTGAGGTCAAGAACTACATGAGAAGTCAAAAGCAAAAATGCCTTCTCTTCATACATTTCACTTTTTCCTAGAGGTTATCTTATTAACAGTTTAGCTTGATTCGTTCCAGTTCCTTTTCTTTTTCTTTACTCTTCCTTAAAAAATTAAATATTTAGCCCTAGCCGGTTTGGCTCAGTGGATAGAGCATTGGTCTGCAGTCTGAAGGGTCCAGGATTTGATTCTGGTCAAGGGTACATGCCTGGGTTGTGGATTGATCCCCAGTGGGGGGGCATGCAGGAGGCAGCCAATTAATGATTCTGTCTCATCACTGATGTTTCTATCTCTTTCTCCCTCTCCCTTTCTCTCTAAAATCAATACAAAAATATTGATTTTTGTATTGCAAACTAGAGGCCTGGTGCATGAAATTTGTACATGGAGGGAGCGGGGCAGGTGTCTCAGCCCAGCCTGCACCCTCTTGCAGTCTGGGACCCCTCAGACATCCTTCTCGCAATCTGGGACTGCTGGCTCCTAACCGCTCTCCTGCCTGCCTGATTTCCCCTAATGGCTCACCTGCCTGCCTGATGGCCCCTAAACCCTCTGCCTGCCTGCCTGATTGTCCCTAACCACTCACCTGCCTTCCTGATCACCCCTAACTGCTCGTCTGCCTGCCTGATTGCCCCTAACCACTCGCCTGACTGCCTGATCTCCCCTAATGACTTGCCTGCTGGCCTGATCATCCCTAACCAGTCTGTCTGCCTGATTGTCCTTAACTGCTTGCCTGCCTGCCTGATTGCCCCTAACCACCTCTGCCTCGGCCCCCACCACTGCGGCTTTGTCCAGAAGGACGTCCAGAAGGTCGTTCAGCTGTCCAGTTTAATTAGCATATTATGCTTTTATTATTATAAATAATACATGGTTTTTTGTAAGAGATTTTAACATTGCAGATAAAACAAGTGTCTCTCTTTAAAAATTAAATTTATTGGGGTAACATTGTGTAATAACATTATAAAGTTTCAAGTATACAATTCTATAATGCATCACCAGTATATTGCATTGTGGTGGTTACCACCAAAAGTCTAGTCTCCTTCCTTCCCCATATATTTGACCCACTTTTATATACTTCATCCTCCCTGACCCCCTTTCACCTATGATAACCACCAGACTGTTGTCTATGTTTGAGTTAAAACAAGTCTCTCTTAATCACACACCTTCCCACCCCTTAAGTCCTGTTCCTGAATGATAAGTACAGAGAGATAACCACAATTTTTTATTTGTTGGTTTTTAAAAATCTTTATTGTTGAAAGTATTATAGATGTCCCGTTCTTTCCCCCATTGACTCTCTCCAACCTGCTCCCACCCCCTCCTCAGGCTTTCACAGCACTATTGTTTGTCCATGGGCTATGCATATAAGTTCTTTGGTTAATCTTCCTCCCCCTGCCTCGGCCTGTCTCCCTCTCCCTCCTTCTGAAATACATTAGTCTTTTGCATGCTTCTATGTCTCTAGATCTATTTTGTTCATCAATTTATTTTGTTCATTAGATTCCACATATGAGTGAGAACATGTGATACTTGTCTTTCTCTGACTGGCTTATTCTGTGATATTTATATACTAGAGGCCCGGTGCATGAATTCATGCTCCAGTGGGGTCCCTTGGCCTGGCCTGCGGGATCGGGCCAAAACCGGTTCTTCGACATCCCCTGAGGGGTCCCGGATTGTGAGAGGGCACAGGCTAGGCCGAGTGATCCCACTGGTGCACAATCAGGGCTGGGGAGGGACGCGGGAGGGCTCCAGGGCGTGTCTGACCCGTCTTGCTCAGTCCCAATCAGCCAGACCCCAGCAGCAAGCTAACCTACAAGTCGGAGCGTCTGCCCCTGGTGGTCAGTGCACGTCATAGTGAGCGGTTGAGCGGCCTTAGCATATCATTAGCATATTATGCTTTGATTGGTTGAATGGCCGACCAGATGACCGTACACTTAGCATATTAAGCTTTTATTATATAGGATGAGTATACTACCTACATATAAAATTACATAATTTTGTGTTTCTGTTTTTTATAACATAGTGTCATAATGTATTATTCTTCAATTCCCTCTTCTCCCAATAGCATATCATATTTTTTAAAATTTTTATTGTTGAGGGTATTACAGATGTCCCCCTTTTTCTCCCCACTGCCCTCCTGCACCCAATTCCTACCCTGCCCCAGGCCTTCACCACCCTATTGTCTGTGTCCATAGGTAATGCATATATGCACATAAGTTCTTTGGTTAATTTCTTCCCGCCCCCTGCTCCCCACTTACCTTTGAGATTCCTCAGTCTTTTCCATGTTTCCATGCCTGTGGTTCTATTTTATTCATCAGTTCATTGCATTTCTTGTTCATTTATTTTGATTTTTACATTCATTTGTTGATAGATATGTATTTATTACCATTTTATTGTTCATATTTTTAATATTTTTTCTCCTCCTCCCTCGTGAGACCTAGTGGTTGAATGTCAACCCATGAACCAGGAGGTCACAGTTTGATTCCTGGTCAGGGCACATGCTTGGATTGTGGGCTCAATCCCAAGTAGGGGGCATGCAGGAGGCACATGATCGATGATGTTTCTCATCAATGTTTCTATTTCTCTATCCTTCTCCCTTCCTCTCTGAAATCAATAAAACTATATTTAAAAAAAGAATACCCTTCAACATTTCATGTACTAGTAATACTGGTTTGGTGGTGATGAACTCCTTTAACTTTTTCTTGTCTGTGAATCTCATCATCTGACTTTTAAATGATAGTTTTGCTGGGTAGAGTAATTTTGGTTGTAGGTCCTTGCTTTTCATCACTTTGAATATTTCTTGCCACTCACTTCTGGCCTGCATAGTTTCTGTTGAGAAACCAGATGATAGTTGTATGGGCGCTCCTTGTAGGTAACTAACTGCTTTTCTCTTGTTGCTTTTAAGATTCTCTCTTTGTTTATAACCCTTTGCATTTTAATTATGATGTGTCTTGGTATGGGTCTTTTTGGGTTCATATTGTTTGGGACTCTATTTCTTTCACCAAGTAGGGGGAGTTTTCTATCATTATTTCTTCAAATAGGTTTTCAATATCTTGATCTGTCTCTTCTCCTTCTGGCACCCCCATGATGAGAATGTTGGTATGCTTGAAGTTGTCCCAGAGGCTCCTAACATTATCTTCATATTTTTAGATTCTTTTTGTTCTTCTGATTGGGTGTTTTTGCTTCTTCATATTCCAAATCACTGATTTGATTCTCAGCATCTTTGACTCTGCTGTTGATTCCCTGAAATAAAGAGTAAATTATTCTTTAATTCAGTTAATTATGCTTAATTTCTGACTGGTCCTTTTTCATGTCTTTGGTATTCTAAGATCCTTGAGAGTCTCACTAAACCCATTGAAGCTCTCATTAAGATCTTTGAGCATTCTTATAACCATTGTTTTGAATTCTGTATCTAGTAGTTTGCTTGCTTCCACTTTATTTAGTTCTTTTTCAGGGGGCCTCTTCTATTCTTTAATTTGTGATATGTTTCTTTGTTTCCACATTTTGGCTACTTCCCTGTGTTTGTTTCTATGTATTAGGTAGAGCTGCTATGTCTCCTGGAATTGGTAGAGTGGCCTTGTGAAGTAGGTGTCCTGTAGGGCCCAGTGGCTCAGCCTCCCCAGTCACCTGATCTGGGCACTCTAAGTGCGCCCCTGTGTGGGCTGTGTGCATTGTCTTGTTGTAGGTGAGCCTTGATTGCTGTTGGCATCACTGGGAGGAATTGACCCCCAGGCCTATTGGCTGTGAGTACTAGCTGTGACTACAGCAGAAGAGCGGCTGTGCAGGAGACACCCCTATGGAGCAGGACTTGCTTCAGTGGGGCTTTGGTGCTTACTGAGTCCGCCTCTTAAATGTGTCACTCATGGGTGTGTAGAGTTGTAATCTGGGGTGGTCTGAAACTGTCCACCAGGTGCACTGGCTCTGGGGCCTCCCAATAGGAGCTACAGAATGATCTGCAGGTGGCTGCTACTTTTGTTGGGCTTGGAAGTGCCCAGGCGAGGCCCAGCTGTGAAGCAAGGCGGGCTGGTGCTAAGGCTGGGCCTTGGGCCTTTTATTGATAGATTTGGGGCATGCTGACCCAAGCTGCTGCTTGTTTGAGAGATTTTAGGAAAGAGTGAAGCCTGGGCCAGGACAGGCCATTCATATGGAAAAACTGCTGCTAACAGCTTGGGTGGGACTATAACTTGGGTAGGGCAGGGTCTTAGAGAATCATCAGGGTGGAGTGAACAGCGTGAGTCAGGTTGATGGAGACTCAGATACGGCAACTACCAGTCAGCTCTGTGATGGGCGAGGTCTCAGCATAGGAACAATGACCCCTTCAAGATCCTTTTTCTTGGAGAAAGCCACTCCTGAATTCTTGCCCTAATGCCCGATAATCCAGTTCCTCTCCATATGTCCCCCCCTACCGCCAAGCCACTGTCACAGCTCTGGAGCTCAGGGGGAGCAAGTCTGAGTAAGTCTGTGCACTGGCCCTTTAATAGTAATCTGGGTCTCCAGTAGTCTCCTTGTCACTCAGCCACATCACTGCTGATTTTTTACAGCCTGAAGTTATGGGGACTTCTCTTCCCAGCTCTGGAACCCTGGGCTGGGGGCCTGGTGTGGGGCTGGGACTCCTTGCTCCTCATGGGAGGCCTTTGCTGCCAAGATATCCATCCCAATTAAAAAAATGCCACACGTGGGTGTCAGACCAGTCTGTTTTGCCCCTACACCCCTCCTACCAGTCTCAATGTGCTTTCTTCCTTAGTTCTCTAGTTGTAGGACTTTCATTCAGCCAGATTTCAGGCAGTTCTGAATGATGGTTACTCTGTATTTTAGTTGTAATTTTGAAGTGGTTGTGGAAGGCCATGAGTACTGTATTTACCTATGCCACCATCTTCCTTTCCTCCCCAATATCATGTCTTAGAGAGTTATGCTGGTCAGACTGAGCTGTGTAGTTTTCCAGAATGTTAATAGACTAGGTTTTATCTAATAATTTTCCTATCCTATATAATAAAGAGCTAATATGCAAATGGTTGTCACACCCTCATGCCATCACACCGTAACGGCTCAGACACTCAACAACTGGGGAGAGAGGAATACCAGCCAGGAACAAGTGAGCTTGCGAGAGAGGAATGGGGACCAGCCAGCCTGTGGCCCGGGAGAGGGACAAATCGCACGCCCTGTGGTCCCAAGTGCCAGTGGCTGGGGCTGTGGCCCAGGAGAGGGACAAGCTGCCTGCCCCAAGGTCCCAGGCACCAGCAGATGTGCCTGCACCTGTGGCCTGGGAGAGGGACAAGCTGCCTGCCCTGTGGTCCTGGGTGCCAGTGTCTGCGCCTGTGGCCTGGAAGAGGGACAAGTGCCTACCCTGTGGTCCCGGGTGCTTGTGGCTGTGGCCCGGGCAAAGCTGCCTGCCCATGGTCCGCTGCGGCTGTGGCCGGCCCGGGCGAAGCTGGCCTGGGTCCTGGGTGCCTGTGACCGGCTGGAGGAGGGAATCGTGGGTCCTGGATGTGGGGCGACGTAGAGGTGGTTAGGGGTGATCAGGCCAGCAGGGGAGCAGTTGGGGACGATCAGACTGGTAGGGGAGCAGTTAGGGGCAATCAGGCAGGCAGGCAGGCAGAGGTGGTTAGGGATGATCAGGCAGGCAGAGGTGGTTAGGGGCAATCAGGCAGGCAATCAGAGGGGTTAGGGGCAATCAGGCAGGCAGGCAGGCAGGCAAGTGGTTAGGGGCCAGTGGTCCTGGATTGAGAGAGGCAGGACCAGCCAGGGCTGGAATAATCTTAATTGGCTTCTTTCACTTAAGATAATATTTCCAAGATTTATTCATGTTGTAGCATGTATCAGCACTTCATTCCTTTTAACAGCTGAATAATATTCCATTGCAAATGATATCACATTTTATCACATCTCCCAAGGGGTCCCGGATTGGAGAGGGTGCAGGCCGGGCTGAGGGACCCTCCCCCCCATGCATGAATTTTGTGCACCGGGCCTCTAGTTTATATATATAAAAGCCTAATATGCAAAGTGTCTCCTCGGGAGTTCGACCGACTGGGAGTTCAATTGCTTGCTATGATATGCGCTGACCACCAGGAGGTGGTGGGGAACAAAGAAAGGCCCTGGCCAGCAGCCGGCAGCCAGGGAAGGGAGGCCCCAGCCGGCAGCCAGCAGCCAGCAGCTGCTAGGGACCCTACCCGTGCACGAATTTCATGCACTGGGCCTCTAGTTTATAGATAAATAGGAAAGACAGTTTTCTTTCTTTTTTTCCCAACAGTGTTAACTGTAGTTGAGCCTTGATTGCTATTGGTGTCACTGGGAGGAATTAATATGTAGACTTAATATGTCAATTCACATACTATTTATTTCTCCTATTTAAAGAGTACAATTCACTGGTTTTTAGTATATTCACATAGTTGTGCACCCATAACCATAATCAATATTAGAACATTTTCATCATTTCATCACCTCAAATAGAAACCCTGTACACTTTAGCTGCCACCTCCCATTTTCACCCATCTCTCCCCTGCCCCGGCCCCCCTGGGCTAAGTAACTACCAGTCTACTTTTTACCTCTATTTGCCTATTATGGACATCCTATATAATAAAAGCATAATATGCTAAGTGTCCGGTTGTCCAATTGGCCATTCAACCAATCAAAGCGTAATATGTTCATGATATGCTAAGGCCGCTCAACTGCTCGCTATGATGTTCACTGACCACCAGGGGGCAGATGCTCCGACTGGTAGGTTAGCTTGCTGCTGGGGTCTGGTTGATCGGGACTGAGCAAGACAGGCTGGACATGCCCTGGAACCCTCCTGCAATCCCTCCCCGGGTGCAACCTCCCTTGTCATCCCTGGCCCCAATCATGCACCAGTGGGGTTGCTCAGCCTGGCCTGTGCCCTCTCGCAATCTGGGACCCCTCGGGGGATGTTGGAGAGCTGGTTTCGGCCTGATTCCTTAGGCCAGGCCAAGTGACCCCACTGATGCACGAATTCGTGCACCGGGCCTCTAGTTTTATATAAATGAAATAATCTTTTTTTTTAAATATTTTATTGATTTTTTACAGAGAGGAAGGGAGAGGGATAGAGAGTTAGAAACATCGATGAGAGAGAAACATCGATCAGCTGCCTCCTGCACACCCCCTACTGGGGATGTGCCTGCAACCAAGGTACATGCCCTTGACCGGAATTGAACCTGAGACCCTTGAGTCTGCAGGCTGACGCTCTGTCCACTGAGCCAGACCAGCCAGGGCTGGAATAATCTTAATTGGCTTCTTTCACTTAAGATAATTTTTTCAAGATTTATCCATGTTGTAGCATGTATCAGCACGTCATTCCTTTTAGCAGCTGAATAATATTCCATTGCAAATGATATCACATTTTATCACTTTATAGACATTTGGGTTTCCACTTTTGGCTATTGTGAACAATACTACTGTGAACATTCTTGTACAGGTTTTTGCATGGAGATATGATGTAGGAGTAGAATTTCTGGGTCAGATACTAACTCTGTATTTAAGTTTTTGAGGAAAATGGTTTCTTTTTATGTGTTAACAAACATTGCTGCAGTTAAAACTTCTATATGCATACATGCAAGTATTTCCCTAGGTTGTATACTCGGCAACTTTGTCAATACTTATTAACAGTTAAATTTTTTTCTCCAAACTGACATGTGGAAATGGCTTGTTGTATTTGCCTTTTCTTATTAATAGTGAAGTTGTCATTTTTTAAAGTTTATTGGCTATTTACATTTCTTCTCTTGTGAATTAACTGTTTATATTTTTCTCAATTTAAAAAATTAAGAAGTTATTTTATACAGATTCTAGGAGTTCTTTATTACTATTGCTATTAATCATTTGTTATATATGTTGATGGAAGCAGTCCACCATGGTCCCGAGCATCTCTGGACAGTCTTGCTGGATTTGAAGTTCACTTTTCTGATAAGGAATATTTTCTTGGAATAATGTTCTGTTTTCATAACTTGACCCATACTTGAATAACCAGAATAATGTACATAGCTAACCTAGACAAGTCATTCCAAGTTGAAGCAGATCCAGTTTAAGCCTACAGACAGGATATTAATTACCAATGGAATGAATCTTCAGTTTAGTGCATTTAAAATATTTATAACTTTAAGTCTTAAATAATATAATAAAAAGATATATCAACCACCTTTAACTATCTACTACTTCAGTATATATATTGAATTTCTTGATTAAACTTTAGCATACTCATATATTTGGATGTGTCATAGAATTCTTATACATTTTTTTTCTTAGAATTGGCGTGACTTGGATGCAAGAATCACAGATACAGCAAATGAATCAAAAGATAATGTCAGATATTTGTACACTCTGGAAAAAGTATGTCAACCTCTCTATAACTATGATCTAGTAAGTATGCTTTTAAGAGTGTAGCTTAAAAATTACCACATTTAAAAATAACTTAATATGTGTATATGGGAAAACCTTATACTGCAGAAAAATTATTTAAAAGATCTATTTCCCTAATACATGTCTATAATGGATTAAAGCTATATTATTTTACCCCACATTTAAATATAATGCATCATCATAAAGATGACTTCATTTGTGAATTAAACAAGACAGACATACTTGTTATCTCACAAGTGACGTTCCATCACGTCTGTCGTATTCTGTACGGTGGAAGCAAGTCAGGCAGGCCAGTGTACACACAGGAGCAGGGGATTACAGAAGCGTGTGAATACCGTGAGGATCACCATCACCGGGGCCGTCTTTGAACCTCCCTACCAGGTTCGAGATTAGGAAATCAAAACTCATGGTGACAGAGTGGCGTTGCCAGCATCACTCAGCTGGTCAGTGATGCACCTTCTAGTTTCCAACAGGACCCATCTTCTAGTTTCTAACCTACTTTTCTTATAATATTTCCGCAGAGTTCCTTTAAAGGACATATTAGCACTACCATTTCCTTCTATTTTTCTAAGTTTGTATTCGTTTTTGATTCATAAATTAACTGGCATTTCGTAATGTTTTATGTGAAGTATGAAAATGAGAGAGAACCCTCTGTCCTTTCTTTAGATAGAGAGGGGAAATCAAGGAAACCAGTGTTTGTTGAGAACCTGGGGCAGTTGTGGTTTTAAAGATGTCCACCGTCTTGAGAACCCTGGTCTTTCATTGTAGGCATTTCCCTATACTTTCGTTCTGTATTCACAACAGGACTAGGAAACTGAACTTGAGCATTTCTACAAGTGTAAGTGATGCGACTGAATTTGAATCCAGCACTCTTTGACATTATAAGTTGTATTCCCCCCCCACCTCATTTTGCTGCCTCCTCAAGGTATTTTCTAAATTTATATGCTCTTGAAATAACTTACATTCGTGTCTGACACACATGTTCAGCATTCTCCATTTTAATCTTTGAAGAGATAGTCAAATCCTCCACATACATGGCACCATTGGCCATATAGCCTGGGTGACCAATCTTTCTGGGGTAGAGTTCCATCCTAGAGGCAGGGAAAGGGGAACAGTCTATGTGCCATATCACTTATATCCAGAGAAGAGGGATGTGTAGGGATATTTCATATACATTCCAAGAGGATATTGGTAGCCAAGGAATTTCATGTGGGTGGTGAGGGAAAAGTGGGTTGAGAGTCCTGGACAGGTGCAGTTCTTACTGCCGTGTGGGAATCCATCATCCATCAGGAAGCACCATGAAAGAGGATAGGAAGACTTCTCAGAAGCAGTTTTTTAATTGATTCCATACAAAGATGATAGATTTTAACTTATTTACAACTTCTTGTTATTTACGAAGAGAATTATGATTTAAACTTTACTAGGTATTATGAGCTTCTAAAACCAGGTGAAACTGTTAATACTGATCTCTACTGACAACAAATAATCAATTTGAACCACGCTTTGATCATGAAACGACCAGAATGTGCCAGAATACACGGCAAAGTAATTTTGCTTCATGATGACGCACCATCACACATTTCAAAACCAGTTCAAGACACGTTAAAAGATCTTGCCTGGGAAGTATTAACCCACCCGCAGTATTCACCAGACCTTGCTCCTTCAGATTACCACTTGTTCCGATCGATGGCACACGTACTTTCTAAGCAGCACTTCAAAACGTACGAAAAAGTAGAAAGTCTGGTCTCTGAATGGTTTGCCTCAAAACAAGCAAAGTTCTATTGGGACGGTATCCACAAATTACCTGAAAGATGGGGGAAATGTGTAGCTAGCGATGGACATTACTTTGAATAAAGCACTTTTGATGTTTCTCTTGAAATTACCAGGTTTTCTTTGATTACAAAATCTGCATTATTAACTGGTACACCTAATACTCTCTTCACTTCCACTTCTAGTACAGGCTCCTGAACTTCCGTTAGGAACCTTTTTAAAATCCGTTTCACATAAGAACATCTTAGGTGTTTCTGTGCATATGACCATGAGCAAAAAACCCCAGATTATATGGTGACAGAGAAATATATCTGTTGCTTGGCTCACTCTAGAGATCAAGGACTTAATTTCTCAGCTTTATAACGTACAATTGAAATTTGTGTCTAAGAAAAATTAGAAAATTAGAATTATCACATGTCACAAGCACTTGGGGTTGCTCACAAGAGTTGAGGAAGCAAATATTAAATACACATATACGTAATGCCTACTCTAGAAGGTCTTCCTACAAGTGGCTCTTGATGTCAAAAATAATAGGTGAATGAAGATAGCAAAATGTTACCATCTGTCAAATCTGGTGGTGGGGATAGATGATCATTAGACTATTCTCTTCACTTTTCTATATATTTAAAACTTTCCAGTATAAAAAATAAACGTGGGAAAAAAGATACAATAGTTTTTATTGTTACCAAGACTTCTAGATTTTAAGGTCTACTGATTTCATCTTCTTGGTTCAACAGACTTGCTTAAATTCCCATAATTTTCACATCTTTTAGTGCTGGTGTTCTTTTCATCCAAGTAATTTATAACACTTTGTTCATTTATTCTAGCTGTGGATATACATTATTATTATTACTACTACTATTTTATTGTTATTAAGCTTTTTATATTCTCTGATGTAGGAATGTGCTTCCCCCTAACACACCCACTATTTTTGTAGTTTCACAAATTCTTTTTTTCTCACTTTCTTTCTCTTTATTAAAAGCAACCAACAATTTCTGTTTGTCACTGTCATTTGAGCAGGAAAAGTGCAGAGGACTCATGGTTCCATTGCTCGTTGATAAATTTTATCATCCTGGTATTACACTTTAGGCATATCTACTATTACACATTTTACATATAAAATGTCTGAGTACGGTGTATAAATAGGTAAGAACTATGCACTCAAGCAGCTACTATGATAAGTAACTAGAGGCCTGATGCACGAAATTCGTGTAAGAGTAGGCCTTCCTTCCCCCGGCTGCTGGCACTGGCTTCCCTCTGGCACCCAGGATCTGGGCTTCCCTCGTAGCCCCCTGGCTTTGTCCAGAAGGTCATCCAGAAGGACGTCTGGTCTAATTAACATATTATGCTTTTATTATTATAGATGATGTTTAAAATTCAGATGAAGGGCATTTTCCTGATTGATCCATTTGTTGCTGTTCCTAAGCCTTCTTTATTGGAGTTAGGGGTACTTTGTAGGCTTGCCTTGTTGAGGGTGGCAGGGACGCCTTCTGGGCACATTTTTTATTAGAATTTTTTTTGATCTATAGGTGACACATCTAATATGAATTCTGACATATAAGGTTAACTATGAAATAATGTTAATGTTTATAAGCCTCATACAATTGATTTAATTATGTCTTTGTCACACCTCATACCTGGGACATACAGTACATGATTTAGTAGTAGTTCTTTCTGGTCTTACTTATTCCATCACCATTTTAAAAATCGTTGCTATATTTATATTGTCTTAGCAGTGAACAGGCATGCTCCTTGAGGGAGGGAGTGCCATTGCCCTTATCTGTTCTTCCATCGTGATTTGCATCATGGGGAAAAGCAGGCCTCAGTCATCCCAGGCACAGAACTGGTTAACTTCCCTGCCTCTCCATTTTGTCATGGGAAAAATGGGGACAACAATATTTTATTTTATAGGTTCTAAAACATTTTTTATTACATTTTAATATCTCTGCACTCAGAGAACATCTTTCAGTCAGTTGAGTTTTATGAATCATTGTGAATGTGACTCGACACTTTTGATTATTAGTTCTCTCCTTGAGGGGTAGAATTTGTTCTGTTTTATTTTATTTTACATTTTTGTACCATTGGTGTGAATTCAGACTGCAGTGAATGAGTGCCAGCTTGTGGTACAAATTCTCAGGGGAATTCATTTTCCCTCCCTCCACAAGGAGTGGGATTGGGATATACAAGGTTTGTTCCTATCTCTTTCTCCATGGCTCCTCTGTTTCATCCTTACCGTTACAGAGGGGGTGGAGCCATTTGGTGGCTTAGTTTTATGTGGGAGTGAGATGCCCTTTTCTTAGTATCATGTAAAGTAGTGGGACAGTACCGTCTTGCAACCAGTGATGTCTTAGCTCTGATGAAATCAAACCTACCTCAAATGGTCATTGTCAGCATGAAGTGCCTGGCACACAGGAAGCACTGGGTACACATTAGCAATTGTTCTATCTGTGTGTGCACTTGTTCTGCTCTGCTCTGTGCTGTTCTGCTGTTTAACTTGTTTGTGTACGTCCCTTGCACTCTGCCGTGACCTCCTCCAGAATAGGTTCCGTATTTGTGGATTTTGCCCAATATTCTCAGTACTTAGTGGCACTTAGTATGCTTGCTGCATGGTGAATTGAGTGGAACACATGGGAATGAGTACTAGTCTAATCTCTGTTTTTAACTAGCTTTCTGACCCAGGTAAGTCACTTTACCCCTCAAAATATCAGTTTCTTCACCTTTAAAAAGAGCAGCTTGAAAGATGAATCCTTAAAATAACGTTCACCTCTAATATTTTATTTTTGAATAAATGTTTAAGCAACAATAATACTAAATTCTCTTCACCCAGTTTCTCCTGTTAGCATTTTGAGTTCCGTGGGCACATTCGTCAGAACTGATGTCCTTTTCCTGTTCCAGGATCCAGTCTAGGATACCACATTGCCTTTAGTAAAATTGGACGTTTATGTATGTTTAGAGTTTCGAATATTATAGGATATTGGTTATTAAACTTATAAATATATGAGGGAATTCACTTGATACATTTCAATTTTAGGTTTCCATGGCCCATGGAATACAAAATTTGATTAATGCCATCAGAATGATTCACAGCGTGTCGAGGTATTATAATACCTCAGAGAGAATGACCTCATTGTTTATCAAGGTAAGTTTGTAAGGGAGGAAGTCACACATGTAACTCTGTGAATAATGCTCTCCCTCTGAACCGGAAAAGGGAAATGGGAAGGTTGGTGCCTGTCGGAGATTTGGATTTTAATACTTCCTGTGGACAAGAAAAGGAAGGTGTTGACTGGAGGCAGTTGTACTTAATTGAAAGGGTGCTTTTCTCCTTGTCAGAGGTAAGCCTCCAGGCTTTTTGTTTAAGTGTAGATGGTGACCATATTTATCCTTTCCAAACACAGTAGTTTTGCTCAAGAGCTAAGGTTTCTGTCCACTATTACCAATGTTTCTTTAGCTACCCCACCGGCACTGTAGTTTGTGTAAAATCTCTCATGTAATGCCTTATGGTTAATTATTTTAAATGATTTGAAAAATTGCCCAAGAAACATAGGAATAGAATTTCTTTGTAAATGATTCAAGCAGAATATAAGTAACATTCACATCTCAACTTTAACACCCCCTCCCCCCACAAAGGATAGATTTAGCCATTATGTTCTCAACAAGGCAAGAACCTTGGTATTCTTCCCTGTCACTTCTTTCTCTCCTTCATGCTGTTTATGTTCCATATTGAGATCTCTAGTTCCATATTATTATTAATATTTTTCAACATTATGAATCAACAAGTTTTCAGACTAAAATCTAAGTAGTGTTAGTTTCTTTGATTATCTCTGTTTTGTGATTTCCACATTTTCTTCCATTGTGGATTCATTACTTCTTTTTTTTAATTTGTTGATTTTTTAGAGGGAGAAAGAGAGATAAGGAGAGAGAGAGAGGGAGGGAGGGAGAGAGAGAAATATCTATTTGTTGTTCCATTTATTTATGTATTCATTGGTTGCTTCTTGTATGTGCCCTGATCAGGGATCGAACCCACAAGCTTGGTGTACTGGGACAATGATCTAACCATCTGAGCTGTCAGGCCAAGATAATTCATTACTTCTTTTGCCAAAAAATATTGTCAACTGGTTCTTTTCTCTTTCTTTTCTGTGTGTGGTGAACCTCCTGAATTCCCACATGTCTGAAAATACCTTCATTTTGTCCTCCCACTCAAAAACTAGTTTCACTGGAATCCTAAGTTCAATGTATTTTCTTCTGGAACTTTGAGGATATTGCTGTCTAATACACAGTATTGTTGATGAGAAATTTGATGCTAATCTGATTGTTTTTCCTTTGTAGGAATCATGTTTTATTCTCTCAGGAAGCTGTTAGGATTTTTTTCTTTATCCTTGAACTTCTAAAATGTCAAAATGATGTGGTTCTTTTTATAATTTATCGTGTTCTATAGTTGCTGGGTTGTTTCAATCCAAAGATTTTTGTCTCTCCTTTTCCTGGGAAATTACCTCTTTTGTCTTTGATTATTTCTTACCCACTTGTTCAGTTTATTCTCACCCTTTGAATCTAACTTCCATTTCTCTTAACTATTTTTTTTGTGTCTATCTTTGTCTTTTGACCTTTCAGCTCACTCATGTGTTCTTAATTTCTGCCCCAAATGCTGGACAATTCATCAATAGATTTAAAAAAATTTTGACAATAAAAATTTCAATTTCCAAGTTTTCTAATTGTAAAATCCTCTCATTTCTTTCTTATGAATTAACTAGAGGCCCGGTGCACGAATTTGTGCATGGGTGGGGTCCCTCGGCCTGGCCCGTGATCAAGGCCTATTGGGGGGCCGGCCAGGGAGAAGGACCTTGGGAGGTTGGCTGGCAGCCCTCGAATTGGGGCCTGTTGGGGGGGCTTTTAGGGGGGAGGAACCACGGGAGGCTGGCTGTGGGAGTGCACTGACCACTAGGGGCAGCTCCTGTGTTGAGTGTCTGCCCCCTGGTGGTCAGTGCGCATCATGGCAACTGGTGGACTGGTCGTTCCGGTAGTTCTGGTTGTTCGGTCGTAATGGTCGCTTAGGCTTTTATGTATACAGATTTGGTTAATAAAAGAGATTTTAAAAGATTTTACATATATTTCTTCTGTATTTCCTATCTTTGTTGAGTTTACTGCCTCTGTTACCAAGTTTGTATTCTTTAATTGCTTGACGATTCTTGGTTGTCTGGACGTCTTTATATTTGAGGCTTCTAATTTGCCTCCCTGTTCTGTTTCTTGTAGGGGAGGGAAGTATGAACAATATTTTCTCTGATATGTCATCCTGCTGTGCAGTAGCTACCTGGCACAGCCACACCTCTCCAAGACTGTGGTTCATATCTACAGCTTTGTCCTTTCAGCATGTGTCCCTTTGCCTGTTGCATAATTGCTCCAAATTCAGTGTGCAGGGTTACAACCGAAGGCCCCTCACGACATCTACCATCTTGAAAAGTTCCCATATTGTTTCACCTTCACAATAACCTTCTCCAGAACTGGGTTCTGGTTTTCTCTAGCCATTTTTTTTCTTTCTTATAGATTTGATCCCATATGCTTTCCATATTTTAAGAATTCTCCAACATTTCTGTGTGCCAGTCTGCCATCTTGATCTAACCTCTGGAATATTTAAATAGATATCTTGACTTTTTTCACTCTTTGGGGGGATATGGTTTGCATGTTGAAGGATGGTGAAGAATCACACTTAGACTAGATCAAGTCCTAATTAGTGCAGAAATAGACAAGTAGAAAATATAGTAGATTTTGAAATTTATAACCCCAATTACATTGACTTAAATGTTGTAGGTAAACGTGACTTTTTTTTTTTACTGGAATGTACATTTCTTTGTGATTTATATACTGTGATTCACTACATAAATTTACTATTTATCATTTTTATGCTTGTGATTTTAAAAATGAAAAAAAATTATTTCTCTACAGTTATTTTGGACTAATATTTATTTTAGGTAACAAATCAAATGGTGACAGCATCTAAAGCCTACATTACTGATGGAGGAATTAACCATGTATGGGATCAGGAAACACCCCTTGTACTAAAGAAAATTCAGGTTTGTATATGTATTTTTATTTATTTATTTTATTTTGTGCGTATTTTTATTTTCATAAAGTAAAGCTTTCACCATTTGGCCCAATTTTGTTTACTTTATTAATGCACAAAGCATGTTAATTTTGATGAAACATTGAACAAAGTAGCCTGAGAGAGAGATAGAGAGAATCATTGATCGCTGCCTCCTGCATGCCCCCCTACTGGGGATTGAGCCTGCAACCTGGGGAATCAAACCATGATCTCCTGGTTCATAGGTTGATGCTCAACCACTGAGCCATGTGGGCCAGGCAATAATGTGAATTTTTAATGTTAACAGCAATAGCCCCTGTTGAGGGGCTGATGTGATCAGCTCTGTGTGAGAGTAGAATTTTTGAATTTTTGACTCCTGAACAAATGTCTCACCACCCTTTCTGCCCCTTCTTTTAATTTTCCACAGGATTGCATTTTCTTATTTAAGGAATATCAAGCATCTTTTCACAAAACAAGGAAACTGATTTTAGAATCCTCAGGGGAAAAGTCTTTTGAGGTTTCAGAAATGTATATATTTGGAAAATTTGAAGCTTTCTGCAAAAGACTGGAAAAGGTAAGCATTGTGCAGCCATAGCATCCACCCCCAAGCACACCTCTCTGGTTATGTGGTACTTTACGTGGCACTGTGAGAATTATTGTTCTAGATTGCTCGTCTCACTGTTGGTACGACTCATATTACTTACTGCATTTTATTATATCTTATTTTTTATTCCTGATTAGTGTCTTCTGCCAGAGACACAAAAGCTATGGGAAACTTTCACTTTTCTCCAAGTCTGCCTCCACCCAGGGAGCTTGAACTCAAAAGCCTCTGCTCTTCACCATTGTGTTGGGCGAGAGGACGTGTGAGATGAAATGCCTGCAATACCTGTCAGAACCCAGTGGTCATGTCGTATCGGGGTGTGTGGGCACCTTCTCTTTCTAGGCCAGTGTACAGGGTGTATCCACAGACATGGTGTAGGTGATGTCTTTACTGGGCATACATGGGTTAGAAACTTCTGCGCCTCTGATTCATTTGCTAAGACTGGCTATGGAGGAGTGATACTATTTTCTGGGTATATAGGCTGTCCATTCAGAAGCTTTCTGGAGTTAGCCTTTGAAAAGTCTACAAAGATATATCATTTAGGTATGACCTGCTCCAGTCCCCCACCACCTTGCCAACTTTTTAGGTCCTGGTAATATTTAGAATCCTGTTCATCGTTTGTTGGAAGTTGCTGAGGCATTACATAGGTTGGAGGGCATTTTCTAGACATGTCCAGAGCCCATTTTTCATTTGTAACCCCTGACACAGTTAGGATAGGAAGGTATGAGTGATGAAGAGAAGCAAGTTACTGGTTGGGGTCTACATAGATACTTCTATTGGGCTGTTTTTGCTTGTTCCTTTAATAGCATTATTGATCTACTAGAGGACCAATGCATGCAATTCATGCAATTCATGCACTGGGGGAGTTCCTCAGCCCAGCCTGCACCCTCTCGCAGTCCAGGAGCCCTAGGAGAATGTTTGGGCCTAAGCCAGCAGTCAGACATCCATCTGGCAGTCTGGGGTTCTCGCAGTCTGGGACCCCTCGCTCCTTACCACCCACCTGCAGTGGAGGAGGGAGAGGCTCTCACCACCGCCACTGCGCTTGCCAGCCATGAGCCCAGCTTCTGGCTGAGTGTTGCTCCCCCTGTGGGAGCACACTGACCACAAGGGGACAGCTCCTGTGTTGGTCAGTGCGCGTCATAGCGACTGGTTGTTCTGCTGGTCATTCCACCATTCGGTCGATTTGCATATTAGGGTTTTACTATATAGGATAATTCATACACCATACAATTCACCCATTAAGGTGTTTAAGTCAGCATTTTCTCATACATTCACAGAGTTATGCAACCATTTCTACAATCTAATTTTAGAACATTTTCATTCCCACTGAAAAAATCCCATCAGCAGCCATATTCCTTCCCCCACCCCCCATTAATATTTCTGTTTCTATAGATTTACCTGTTCTTCTGATGTGTTCTTTTGTGACTGACTTCTTTCATTTAGCATAACATTTCAAGGTTCATCTGTTTTAGCATTCCTTTTTATTGCTGAATAATATTCCATGTATGGATATACCACATTCTATTTATCTATTCAATAGTTGATGGATATTTGGGTTGTTTCCACTCTTTGGCTATTATGAACAGTGCTGCTATGAACATTTGTGTACATATTTTTGCATGGACTTATGTTGTTATTCCTCTGGAATATATGCATAGGAGTGGAATTGCTGTGTCATGTGGCAATGCCGTGTTTAACTTTTTGAGGAGCTGCCAACTTGTTCTTCAAACAAGCTGCATCATTTCACATTTTCATAAGCAACTTAAGGGAGTTCCAGTTTTTCCACATCCTTGTTAGCTCTTGTTATTATCTGTCATTTTAAATTTAGCCATCCTAGTGGGTGTGAAGTGGTGTTTTATTGTGGTTTTGATTTGCATTTCTCTGATGACTAATGAACTAATGATGTTGAACATAATTTCAAGTGCTTAATGTTCATTTGTAGTTCTTTTTTGGAGAAATTTCTATTCAAATTTTTTACACATTTTATAATGAATTATTTTTGTATTTTTATTGTTGAGTTACGAGAGTTCTGGGTATAAGTCTCTTATATATGATTTGCCAATATCTTCTCCCATCCTGTGGATTATCATTTCAGTTTCTTTCTTCTTTATTTAATCCTCACCTGAAGATATGTTTTAAGTTTTTATTGATTTTAGAGTTTAGGTTTTTTTTTCTTCTCACCTGGACATTTATGGGAGAGAAGAGAAGAAGTGGGAAGCTGGTATTGCTCAGGGGAGAGTTAAGGAACTAGAGGTAGAGGTGGGGTAGAGTCTTTACTCCTGGTGACACTGAGATGAGGGAATCATAGCAAGTTGAGAACTAGAGAGGATGCCAAGATTGGTGAGCAGAGGAGGAATTATAAATTGGCTGTCAGTACTGAGGGGTCAAAACTTGATAAAGAGAAAGCTGGTAAAAAAGCCTAGGCCAGGACAAACAAGCAGGAGGAGGGTCATGTTGGCTGACCATGACTGGCTTTTATATTGTTGCTGTGTGTATGGGGGTGGGGGGCTCACTGGCTAAGTTTGGGACCAACTGCTGTCCCTGTCTCTTGACCACCCATTATCCACAGATGGACAAAACAGAGGACATGTTCATGACAGGGATTTTGCCCCTGTCTCTGGCCATGGGGGTCAGGTGGAAAGGTAAGGGATAAAGATCAGAGTCTTAGGATAGAATAACAGAGCAAGTGGGTAGTTTCGTTCTCCTATTTGCCTTTTAAAGTTTTTTTTTTTCCTTTAGTTTTTTGTTAAGGTGAGTGGAGCGTACGTATTAGTAGGAAGCCCAACTATTTCTCATTTTATATAGGGTGTACATAGCGAGCTGTGAATTCTAGGTAGTCCATGTGTGCTCCAGGCTTGGCCTGGCTTCTAGGGTGACAGTCGTTTTGGAAATGTACAGAAACAGTGACCCAAGAGTGACAGTTGTTCAGGAAGTGGTCCCTTTGGATTGACATGCGCAGGGACTTTGACTTCTGGTTCTGTGTTGTCTCCACCGTGTGTAGTCTGTGGAGGACTCCCCTGAGAACAGGTTTGGTTTCTGTCTGGGCGTTGGACAAAGGGAAGCTTTGCCCAAGGGCCAAACAGGAAGCAAACCTGGAGAACTTTGAGCATTGTTCTCCAAAGCAGGAATCAGACAGGAAACCATAAAAATTCTAGAGGAATCCAAAGGCAACAAAATCTCAGACATATGCTGAAGCAATTTCTTCACTGATACAGCTCCTAGGGCACTTGAAACTAAAGAGAAAATGAACAAATGGGACTACATCAAAATAAAAAGCTTCTGCACAGCAAAAGAAACCATCAACAAAACAACGAGAAAACCCACTGTGTGGGAAAACATATTTGCCAACGTCATATCTGATAAGGGCCTAATCTCCAAAATTTATAGGGAACTCATACAACTTAACAAAAGGAAGATAAACAATCCAATCAAAAAATGGGCAAAGGACCTAAATAGACACCTTTCAAAAGAGGACATTCAGAAAGCCAAGAGACATATGAAAACATGCTCAAAGTCACTAATCATCCGAGAGATGCAAATCAAAACAACAATGAGGTACCATCTCACACCTGTCAGAATGGCCATCATCAACAAATCAACAAACGACAAGTGCTGGAGAGGATGTGGAGAAAAAGGAACACTCGTGCACTGTTGGTGGGAATGCAGACTGGTGCAGCCACTATGGAAGACAGTATGGAGTTTCCTCAAAAAACAAAAAATGGAACTCCCATTTGACCCTGTGATCCCACTTCTAGGAATATATCCCAAGAAACCAGAAACACCAATCAGAAAGGATATATGCACCCAGATGTTCATAGCAGCACAATTCACCATAGCTAAGATCTGGAAACAGCCTAAGTGCCCATCAGTAGATGAATGGATTAGAAAACTGTGGTACATCTACACGATGGAATACTATGCTGCTGTTAAAAAGAAGGAACTCTTACCATTTGCAACAGCATGGATGGAACTGGAGAGCATTATGCTAAGTGAAATAAGCCAGTCAATGAAGGAAAAATACCACATGATCTCACACATTCATGGATAATAGAGACCATTATAAACTTTTGAACAATAATAGATACAGAGGCAGAGCTGCCTCACACAGATTGTCAAACTGCAGCGGGAAGGCCGGGGAGGGTTGGGGGGCAGGAGGGAGGGGGGTAAGAGATCAACCGAAGGACTTGTACGCATGCATATAAACATAACCAATGGACATAAGACACTGGGGGATAGGGGAGGCCAGGGGATTGTCAAGGGCGGGGGAAAAAAGGACACATATGTAATACCCTTTGTAATACTTTAAGCAATAAAAAAATTAAAAAAAAATAAATAAAAATAAAAATAATCAAGAACATAAAAAACAAAACAAAAAACAAAGCAGGAATCAGAACAGGGACTCACAAATGAAGATTAAGGAACTGAGTAGCCTGTGAACGTGAAAGGTTTTTTTTGTGTGTGAAGTAGGTGGTGTTGGTACATTGAGATGGAGGCAGCCATTTCTGCAATAAAGTCCATTTTGACGATCTCCTGGGGCTCTTCTGGGGTCAGAAGTGACTACAGTCATTCTTCAGTCTTCTTGGGCCTTCCTTCTACCTGAATGCAGGGGAAAGGAAAACAGATGCGGATTTCTGCTGGTGCTACATATCAGAACTACATGTCAGAACTACAGTGAGGGCAGGGGCAAGAAGAATGGTACAGCGTCTGAATCCAGTGAAATAATTTTCAGAAAATTCTCAAGAATAAAAGAATGAAATTATTTAGACATCTGCAAGGACTTTTACTGAAATTTATTTCCCCCTCCTTTTGAAATATAATACTAGTATGATCAGATTTCAAGATATGCTCGAACATCATCGATTTAAATAGTTGAAGAAGAGTACTGATTAGTGACAGGGATTTACCATCTATTTTATCTACTCTGGTTTTAGCTAAATGATCCTAGGGCCTGTTTCTTGGTCTGCTTTTTAATCAATGATTCCTTAAGAATTTACTCCAGGGAAAGGTGCTACTATCCCATTTTAAAAATAAAATAACACTTCTCTTTTTAAGATTACAGAAATGATAACTATTGTGCAAACATTCTCAGCCTTGAGTCATTCTACCATAGAGGGAATAGATATAATGGCAATAAAATTCAAAAATATATATCACGGGGTTAAGAAAAAGCAATACGACATTCTGGATCCAAGAAGGATAGAGTTTGACACAGATTTCTTAGACTTCATGGCAAAAATCAGTGCTTTAGAGGTAAGTAATTATACATACTTTTACTTGTAATTAATAATATTGGAATTCACATATTTACTATTTGTTATAAGTTACTCTTGCAAATGGATAAAAAAATATTTGCTAGTGTGATTAATTTCTTAACTAGTCCACAAAATATTTTCCGCCTTTTTTAAAGTGAAAAAAGGGGCATAATCAATAAAAGATGTCAGTGAACAACCAACCAGAAGCCCCAAAGACTACTGTAGTTGGGGGTCATTTTTAGTTTACATGAACATTTGTTTTCGATTTTTGTTGTGTCAAGAAGCCAATGTCATTTTTTCAGTCCGAGGGCAAGTTCGTCATTTTTGCTCTTTGTTTTAGTGAGAAAAGATGTGAGGATGGATTAGGAAGGTGCCTTACTCTCCCCTTGGCCACATTCTCTCTGCATCCTAGAGGGCACTCTGAGAGGCCCTCGTCCTGTTTGTCATAGCGTCTGGGGCACCAGACGGATGAAGGGTAGTTAAAAATAATGTCTGGTACCATATTTCTCTCTTACCTTTGGGCTTATATGGCTTTAGTTACTCTCATACTAACTGAGGTTAACCCCATGGAAAGGCCCTCTGCTTGCTACCCAATGTCTGGGAGACACAGGGAGGGACAAGAATATACTCTGTCCACTTCCCAAGTCTGCAATTCTTGGCATGAAGGTGAGGAAACATATATTTATATTTTCTTATTAAAAAGATTCTTTTAAAAAACTATATTACATGTAATCTGGGCAATATAAAAAGATAGATCCTAAAATTCTAGCAGCAGTTTTTCTTTTTGGCACAGACTTCCTTTCAGTTTTTGAAAGTGAGACTCTGATGTTATGATATATTATAGTTATTACTTTTAGTGTTTGGCTAGTCAGGCAAGGTGGGATTTTTGTCTAAAATGCTTTGCGAGTTATATCTTTATGGCAATGGGAATTTGGACTTTTTAAAAAAACTTATTGCCTAAATCATTTTTATGATTCTTTAATAAAGATTATATGTTGTAAAGGCTTTACTATGTGGTCTTAGATATAAATTTTAGCTCCCAGCATATTTAGAGGCCATATTAACTTTTTAATATTTTAAAAAGGTGTCAGTGTTTTAACTTACCTTCCTTTCCCAATGTTTGATTAGCACTGTGTTTTAGGTTAGTAGACCATCTATAATAATGAAAGTGTAATATGCTAATTAGACTGGATGTCCTTCCGGACGTCCTTCTGGTCGACCTTCCCGACGACCTTCCGGACAAAGCTGGGGCTGTGAGGGAAGCCCGGGTTCTGGGTGCCAGAGGGAAGCTGGTGTCAGCAGCTGGGGGAAGGAAGGCCTACTCTTGCATGATTTTCATGCATCGGGCCTCTAGTAACAATATAATCTGAAAGTGAAAGTAATTTAGAAAGAGTGTTTCAGTTCCATTGGTACCAGGAGTTTGGAATTCACTGTTTGGGATGGTGTGAGTTTCAGAAGAATATTTTCTTCTTGTTTCTCCTTGGCATGGCAAAGAGGTTTCTGGGAGCAGTGATGTTGGACAGTGACACCTGTTGATTCTGGGTGTCCATAGTGTCATCACATTGCTCTACCAATATGCTTAGAAATTCCAAACATCCCAAAGAAATGTGCTTGGTAAGGGACACTCACTCCTTTAAAAAATCCTCTAGGTCAGTAATTTCCCCAAACAACCACATATGTAATTTATAATTTTTCTAGTAGCCAAAAGAATAATAGTTAAAAGAAGCAGGTAAAATTACTTTAATAAGATATTTTGCCTGGCCGGTATGACTCAGTGGTTGAGTGTCAGCCTATGAACAAGGAGGTCATGATTCGATCCTTGGTCAGGGCACATGCTGGGTGTTTGGGCTCAATCCCCAGTTGGGGGTGTGCAGGAGGCAGCCAATTGTTGATTCTCTCTCATCATTGATGTTTCTATGTCTCTCTCCCTCTCCCTTCTTCTCTGAAATCAATAAAAATATATTTTAAAAAATAATATATTTTATTCAACCCAACATATTAAAAATATTAACATTTTGACATATCATCAAATATAAGAATCATTGAGATATTATGCATTCTTTTTTTGTACTAAGTCTTTGAAACCTAGTGCATATTTTATACTTACAGCGTATCTCACTGCCAAGTAGTGAGTGCCAGGGGCCATCGCACTGGGCAGTGTAGTTTTAGATGCTTAGATGGTAGGTGTGTTGAAGGCTATATTGATTCTGTAGGAAAATCATTAAATGTTGTTAAACAAAACTAATCTCTTAATGCCAAGATCATTAAATATCAACATTTTATTTCAGGTACAAATACAGGCCTTTATGAACAGTACTTTTGGAAAAATCTTATCTTCTCAGCAGGCTCTTCAGCTGCTTCAAAGGTATTTATAATCCATTAAGCAGCATAATTTCTAGTTGGCATAACTTTATATCTGAAAATACAATTTCAAATAAGATGTTCTTGGAAATCTCTTCTAGGTAAACTTTTAAAAAAATTTTTAAATTTATCTTGATTGTTGAAAGTATTACAGATGTCCCTTCCCCCCCTAAGGATTCCCTCCTCCCCACTCCCATCCCCTCCCTCCCCGGGCCTTAACTGTACTATAGTCTGTGTCCATGGGTTATGCATATAAGTTCTTTGGTTAATCTCTTTCCACTCACACCCCGCTTCCCTCTGAGAATCGTCCGTCTGTTACATGCTTCCATGTAAGATTCTTTCTTTGTCTTTAAAGCAGTTTCTTTTGTTCATTAGATTTCACATAGAAGTGAGATCACGTGATATTTATCTTTCTCTGACTGGCTTATGTCACTTACCATAATACTCTCTAGGCCCCTCCATGTTGTTTCAAAGGTTAAGAGATCCTACTTTTTCACAGCTGCATAGGATTCCACCGTGTAATGTACCACAGCTCTTTTATCCACTCATCTACTTTTGGACACTTGGGCTGTTTCCACATCTTTAAAAACCAAAACAAACTGAGTGAGGCTTTCTCTCCGACCGGCTCTGGTCTCCCTGGTGGCCAGAAGCTCTGCTGCCTTTCACAGCTGGATGTTATGTGGGTCACTGTTCCCAGCCCTCTTACTCTGGGCTGCAGAGTCCAGCCTGTGTTCCAGGTCTTGATCTGCTCGGGGAAAAGCCCTCCTGTAGCCAAGGGATCCCTCTGCACTCTGGGCCGGCCGCCCGAGGAAGCGGGGTCAGCCCCTCCTGCGACGTCGCCCTTCCTGTCAGTCTCCAGGTGTTTTCTATGTCTCCTTCTCAGCTGGACCTTAGTTGGTAATTACGGGTGAATGTTCCCCAATTTAGTTTTATTTCCAGTCTGACCCTGGGATGAGGTGCAAGATTTGGCCACCATCTTCTCTCTCTTCTTCTAGGTAAACTTTTGAACTCAGAAACATTGCTCTTTCAGTTACCATTTAATAGAATGGTAAAAATTTGAAATATATTTTTCGCTGATTTTTTTTATAGCAGACAGTCTTTCAATAAGAGAATGAAATATTTTACATCTTTCCCCCAGCTACATGATATATTTGAGGTTGGTTTCATAGGTGTTATTGGAAAGGGAACAATAATGTTTAATTCTGCGTGCTGAAAAGATTTTGTTTGGACTTTTAGAAAAAAGTGCAATTAAGAGTAGCAGATCTCCAGACTCCCATTTTCCCTCCCGAGTGCCCCTGCCGCTCCTGTCCCTCTGTTCCTGACAACAGTGACCTCCAGAAGGGCAGGAAAGCCTGGACCAGAGGGACGAGCTGGACTCGGGGCTCTTTGCTTCCAGCTCGGAAAGGGCTCATGACCATGTTAGGGGCCCTTTGGGAACCCTTTCCTGAGAGCCCGTGGTTCTGGGCTTGGGCCCAGCTTTGCTGTAGTTCCATGTCTCTCTAACTATGGATAATATCAGTGAGACCTTACCTTATGAGACCATCATCAGAGTCAAAACAGATAAAGTGGTTTTAACGCGTGACAGATGGCAGGTTCTACTTTCTTAGTGATTTCTCTCTGTCTCTTTCCTTCTGTCTTTGCCCTCCCCCCACCAACCTATAATATACTGGTGTTAATTCACTTTATTATCAGGACGTTCTGGTTCCAGCCCTTCCTGTGTGTCACTGGGTCTCTAAGTGAAAGTGATATTTGGCTGACAAAATCATTATTATAATATTATTATTCTGGCTATTTGGAATCATGTGACGTTAATATTGGCAGAGGGATAGTCAGTGTGCTCCCCTCCATCTTTATGAAGCCACCCCCCACTCACCTTTTCAATCTCAGTTTAATGTCACTTCCTCAGGGAAGTTTTTCTTGACTTCCCAGACTTGGCTGGGTTCCCTGTTAATATGCATTCCTGGCACCCTGGTAATTTAAATAATTATTTATGTAACTCTTGACCGATAGCTCCCTTTTCCATAAGATAACAGACTGCAAGAAATCTGGAACCATACTTGTCTTGTTTCCACTGTATCCTGGCACATGTAGGAGGCCTGATGTGAATATTTGTCAAATGAGTAAAGGAATGGATTTTTAGGACTGCAGCAATTCTCAAGTATGTTTCTCATTTACTTCTTAATTCTTCACCTTCAATTACTCTTAGGTTCCAGAAGCTGAACATTCCCTGTCTTAAATTAGAAATAAATCACACAATTGAGCGTATCCTTCAATGTTACGTGGCTGAACTCGAAGCTATTAAGAAGGCAAGTATCGTGTTTATAAAGACAGGCACTTTAGTACAAAAGCAAAAGCATTCAGAAAGTATTTGCCGTGGTTATATTGTGCTAAGCAACTCGGGAGCAGTCCTGTCACTGCGAAATCCCTCTGACGTCCCTTCTCAGTGCGGGAAGGGCTGACCGGGGATGTCACTGGGAGGCCAGGCTTACATCCTGTGCTCTTAAGAACTGCCTTTGCGTGACAGCATCCATGCGTGCATCAGAAAGCCCATTAAGCCCATAGAAGTACGGGCTCTGGAGACTATTATGACAGGTATAATGTAGCAATGTGCTCCCTCTTTTGAATACTTCTTTAAAAATTGAGATAAAAGGCAGAAAAAAATATATACATGTAATGGGAAAGAAGGGTTAGAGATAATTAAGTGTCATATATTTTAAACATCATAGCTCCTGAATCTCGGGTTATTATCTCTGAAGGCCGTTTCTATATTTTTAATGACTACCTCCTTGGTATAAAACATGGGAATAATGGCAAAACATCAATACAAGTATAGCTTTATATATATTTTTTGCCTTTTTCATCGTATTTAATTTCAAACATTAATACCAGCTCTTTCATTACAGCTTTATCATTCTCAAAAAGATGACCCCCCTCTGGCTCGCAACATGCCCCCAATAGCAGGAAAAATACTTTGGGTGAGGCAGCTCTACCGCCGGATAAGCGAGCCCATCAACTATTTCTTTGTAAGCCAACGCTGACATTTACAGTATGTGGACTGGGGTTTTGAATACAAGAAATATATTTGATCTCATAGTATTTATGTCCAAGAAAGTAGTTAGAGCTCATTATTTTACGGGTGAAGAAAATGTAGTTTATAAATATGCTTGTGAGACATTGAGCCAATTGTTTCATGTGTGGTAGAGAAGCCCGTTTCATTACAGTTATCGCTAAGAGGGTGAATCTTAAACTTTGTGACTTTTAATAAAACAGGACACTTTATAAAGGCTTTAAAAATTGTTTTGAAAACAAAAACGTACAGGCCAAGTGCTGAGGTTACTTCTGTGTATTAGCAAAGGGGAGGCTAGGTGCAGTCTCTTCCTGTATGAGAAACTGAGACCTAGAGCAGGGAATCATGAAGGACATTCATTCTCTGTGTCCTTAAGATATTCGATTTCTGAAAAGCACCAGGATACTCTTAGGCCCTGTTGGAATTCTGAAATTGCCAGTTTGTCTTCTCTTTGTTTTTTGTTTTTGTTTTGTTTTGTGTTTGTTTGTTTTTTTGCTTTGTTTTTTAAAGAGACAGAGCTACAGAGTGGAGATGGTTGGCTTAGTTTTGTGTCTAATGCCTAAATTCAGAACAAAATGCTACCAAAATATAGTCTTGAGAGTAACATTATAATTCAAACGTTATTAAATATTGAGCTTTTGTTGTTTGTGTTTGGCTACTATCTCTTATTTAACTGTTCTCAATATTAAAAAACATTGAAACGCTGGGCTTACACAGGGGCCAGGACGGAACTCCATTGCTGATTGACTGTTTTTGACATATGTGGATCAAAACATAAAACGTGCAGTAATTTGCATAAAGAAATTTGGTTGTGTTCTTGGATATAGGGTTACTGTTTTTTGGTGCTGGAACTTAGGACTTTGTCCTGATATCCACACTTCAAGGGAGATCCGTCCATCGCATCTTGTCCAGAAAAGTGGGAGGGAGGCAGCCGATCAATGATGCTCTCTCATCATTGATGTTTCTATCTCTCAGTGCCTGGGGCTGGCTGCAGGGCTAGCCCTTTCTGTTTTAATCCTTTATTTCCTTCTCCAGTTTCCCCCTTCTACACAATGTTTCCCTACTTCCATGGCTAGCTTGGACAGCCTTCCTCATCCCTGTGTTACTCTGAGGTAAAATCTGAATGGGTAGCACAATTATTTGATGCCATTTTAAAGACAAACAGCTTTATGATTTGCATGAAACGAGCAACAGTCTTTTAACATAAAGCTTTCTCTTTCCCATAAAAAAACAGAAAAACTCGGACATTTTGTCAAGTTCGGAAGGTAAGGCTGTCATTCGTCAGTATAACAAGATTTCCTACGTGCTGGTGGAGTTTGAGGTGGTCTACCACACGGCCTGGACCAGAGAGATCTCGCAGATACAGTACGGTGGGTGCGCGGCTCCGCTCCCCAGGGGCGTGAGGGGCCTTTGGATGAGTTCATGGTTCTGGGGAAGTTTTACATCTCTTCCATGTAGTCTTATGATGGTTGCATTGAGATTTGGGGGTGATACAATTATTTGTATCTTTATAGTTATTAATACTCTGATCTTTATGAGCAAAAATCGTCATGACCTTAAAGTTGATTTGCTTAGATTATGACTTCCTCCTGAAAAAAAGTACTCAAAAGTAAATATCAAGACTCTTTATAGATATTTTTCCATGGATTTAGGAAAGTTTTCATATTTCGTTTTATCATGACATAGATTCAAATCTCAGTCCCAATCAGTGGAGAATTGCAGCTTCCCTCCCTCTCTCCCTCCTTCCTTCTCACCTTTCTCTTCCTCACTCCTCTCTTGTTCCCTCCCTTCCTTTCTTTCTTTTTCTATAACTGAATTTAACTTCAATTTTGAGCTCCAGTAAATTAAGAGCATTAGGCCTGCCTGGCTGGTGTGGCTCAGTGGTTGAGCATCGATCTATGAACCTAGGTCCTAGGAGGAAACGGTTCAATTCCCCGTTAGGGCGCATGCCCGGGTCACAGGCTTGATCCTTAGTAAGGCATGTCAGGAGGCAGCCAATCAATGATTCTATCTCATCATTGATGTTTCTATCTCTCTCTCCCTCCCCCTGCCTCTCTGAAATCATTAAAAAATACATTTTTTTTAAAAAAAGAATATTAGGGCTGGTCCAAGTACCTCTGAGGGTCCAAGTATCCTCAGGCACCGGGCAGAGTTAAGTGTGAGGCAGAGGATGGTGATTCTCAGCAAGCACCCACCCACGCTGGCATCATCTGGGGTGTTACTGTGTGGGCTCAGCTGTTGGCCATGCTTTGTCCCACCTTAACCTTAAGCTCTTATCTGTAACCTGGTGGAACCCTGGCCGTGTCCCCTGGTAGGAAGCTTTCTCCCTCGCACCCCAGGATCTCCACTTCAGCAGAGCACAGAATTGCAGGCACAGGGAGCACAACTTCAGGGGGTGGGTCACCAGGGGTGACAGTGAGAGGACCACTCCTACTTCTGTCTCTTGGTTCCAGATCCATTTACTTGAGCAGTTGGGGACACAGCATATATGTGGGTGCTTGATTCAGTGCACACCGGCATCCTGGAAGACAGGGCCCCAACCCCGCAGGGTGTCTTCCCCAACTGGCACCTTAACCAAACCTTTAATAGTCCTTCTGTCAGGCCATATGCGAATGGCGGCCAAATGGATCCCAGTGAAAGCCTGCTAATGGACCAACGCGGAAGCTTACACTTCACACTATGGAAAAGGGCAAAAGAGAATTTTTAACAACTGAAACACGGAGCATGTACTAGTTAGCTTCTGCAATACGATGCAGTTCTTTCCCAGGACACGTACTGCTTTACAGACCCGTCTTATCTCCCCTACACATTCCAAGGATACTCTCTTTGTCTGTTTCATCTTTGTCTCCTTTAAATAACAGTCATAGCTAACATCTATATAGTGCTGACCATGTGCCAGGCTTTGTCTAAGTACTTTACATATACAGCTAACTGCCTTTAATCCTCATGGCAACCCTTTGAGGAACTATTATTGCCCTCATCTGACAGATGAGGCAACCCGGGCACTGAGAAACCATTAACTGACTTGCTCACAGCTGGGAAGTGGCAGGGCCAGGATTCAAATCTGCCTTTCATGTGCACACAGGCTACTGGGCAGGAATCACTCTGAAAGGCTTCTTGTTGATACAGTGGTGTGACGATACTTAATGGTACAGGCACTCGGGGTAATAATTGGAGACCTAGTATCAACCCCTGTAATGTTTCTCTACTGATGACTCACCTGGAAGGAATGTTCACTCAGCCCTGGGGAGGGCTTCCAGGCTGTCATTGTTAGTGGTCTTGCTGCCCATTCGGTCCTGTCACAGAAACTCAGTACAGCCCTAAGGAAGACAGATTTTATTAAATGAATGTCCAAGGGTTAATTTAGACTTTAACTTGGGAAGATAAATGATTTCTAGTTCAATTTTTAAAAGATTTCAAATAAATTGGGTAAAATTTTTGATTGAAATCTCCATGAAACTAGGATCATTAAAACTAATCTTATAGGATGAGTAAAACTCCAGTAACTTCAGAGAGATATAAAGACTCTTCTATTTAAGTAGATACTTGATGCAGCCACATATGGTGCAGTAATATGAAGCTTGGAAGGTACAGTGGGCATCCTCAAGTTAGTAGTGTTTGTTAATATAAGATATATTCAAGCTCATACATACTTATCTACAGGTGTGTAATTATTTTTATCATCCTATATAATAAAAGCCTAATGTGCTAAGTGTCCGGTTACCCGGTCGTCCGTTCAGTCAAAGCGTAATATGCTAATGATATGCTAAGGCCACTCAACCGCTCACTATGACGTCCACTGACCACCAGGGGGCAGTCAACCAGTTGACCAGTCGCTATGATGTGCACTGACCACCAGGGGCAGACGCTCCAACCAGTAGATTATTTTGCTGCTGGGGTCTGGCTGATTGGGACTGAGTGAGATGGGCCGGACATGCCCTGGAGCCCTCCCACAGTTCCTCCCTGGCTGGCCAACCTCCCATGTTCCTCCCCGGTCCCGATAGTGCACCGGTGGGGTCCCTCGGCCTGGTCTGTGCTCTCTTGCAATCCGGGACCCCTCAGGGGATGCCAGTTTCGGCCCGATCCCGCAGGCCAGGCCAAGGGATCCCCCTGGTGCACGAATTCATGCACTGGGCCTCTAATGCTATAATAACAAATAATCTAAGGCTCCTCAGCATGAACCTAGGGATTCATAATAAAAAGCATATCTGAAAATGCCTATTTATATTAATAATGTTCAATAGTAGTTCAGATGTAGTGTAAAAAAATCGCCCTCTGTATTTATTCTAGGAGTTCACAGTGCAATGGTGTTCAATAAATATTTCTTACTGATATTGATCCTAGTTGTCAGAAATTCAGGATGGAGATTTCATTCAGATAAACCTCCTTAAAGAAGCCAGTTTGGGGTTAGGCATGGAAAAAGGTTTGGGAAATCTGTGAGGTGTGTCATATTTTCATAGTTGGGCACATCTTCCAGTTCTCTCCTAGGGGTTCAATCACCATCTGTGAAAATAAACTAACATGGTATTATAGCTTTCTTAGGCCCACCCTGAAAAGTTTTGCAGCTCATAGCACAAGGGCTAGCCATTCTTGGCCCAGTTTCCTCTCTCAATCTGATTTTATGGCCTTCTAGACACTCTGCATTTATCTATGTCTTGAGCACCTACTGTGTGTCAGAAACTGGGATATTCAATGCTATTGTTCTGTCCTTCAGAAGTCAGTAGTCCAGTCTGGCCCCCATGGCTCAGTGGTTGAGTGTCATCCTATGAACCAGGAGGTCAGGGTTTGATTCCCGGTCAGGACACAGGCCTGGGTTGTGGGCTCGATCCCCAGTAGAGGGCCTGCAGGAAGCAGCTGATCAATGATTCTCTCTCATCACTGATGTTTCTCTCTCTCTCTCTCTCTTTGAAATCAATAATTTTATATACACACACACACATACATACACACACTAGAGGCCCAGTGCACGGATTTGAGCACTGGTGGGGTCCCTGGGCTTGGCCTGTGGGGATTGGGCCAAAACCAGATCTCTGACATCCCCCAAGGGGTCCCAGATTGTGAGAGGGTGCAGGCCAGGCCAAGGGACCCCACCAGTGCACGATTGGGGCCAGGGAGGGACCGCAGGAGGGCTCTGGGGCGTGTCTAGCCCATCTCACCCAGTCCTGATTGGCCGGACCCCAGCAACAAGCTAACCTACCAGTCTGAGTGTCTGCCCACTGGTGGTTAGTGTGTGTCACAGCGACTGGTCAAATGGTCGAATGAACGGTTGGACACTTAGGATATTAGGCTTTTATTATATGGGATTTTTTTTAAAGTCAATAGTCCAGTGGGGAAGATAGGCATGTGACATAGGGCTGGAAGCAGAAATAAATCCAAAATATCTAAAGTAAAAAAATCATTTATTTGTAGCTTTACAAGCCACACTTTTTGTGCGACATCCAGAATCAGGGAAGTTGATGGTTAATTTTGATCCCAAAATTCTGGAAGTTGTTCGGGAAACTAAGTGCATGATAAAAATGAAGCTGGAGGTACCAGATCAGGCAAAGAGAATGCTAAAGCTGGAGAGTAAGTTGAAAGGAGATAAATTGCATTTGCAGGTAAGATAAATTATATTTTCTAATTAGTTTTGAAGTGTTTTTTTTGGGGGGGGCGGGGAGGAATATAGTATTGCAGTTTTACTGATATGGCTCTGAGGGGGGAAATCTGTTACTATGTTGATTCTTTTTATTTTTCAGCTTTACTGAGGTGTAATTGACAAATAAAAATTGTAAGATATTTAGTGTACAATGTGATGGTTTGATATACATATGCATTGTGAAAAGATCCCTCCCATTTAGTTAATTAACACATTCAGTACCTTACGTATATACATATGTATATGGGTTTGGTTTTTTTATGTGAGAACATTTAAGTTCTACTCTCTAAGCAGATTTCAGTTATACAACACAGAGTTATCAACTATAGTCGCAGTGTGAGACAGTCGCTCCCCAGACCTTATTTATCTTATAACTGAAACTTTGTACCCTTTCACCAACCTTTCTCCACTTCCCCCTCCCCCCAGGCCCTGGCAACGACTTTTCTACTCTCCATTTTTACGAGTTTTTTTTTTTTAATTCCACATCTAAGTGCTACCATACCGAATTTGTCTTTCTGTGTCTGACTTATTTCACTCAGCATTAGGCCTCAAGGTCCATCCATATTGTCGCAAGCGGCAGGATATCCTTCTTATTTCCATTCCTTAGCTATTGTGACTAATGCTGCAGTTAACATTTCATTTCCACAGAAGTGGATTGCTGGATCATATGGCATTTTTAATTTTTCAGCAACTTCCACACTGTTTTCCTTAGTGGCTACACTAATTTACATTCCCAGCAACAATGCATGAGGGTTCCCTTTTCTCCACATTCACCCCAACACTCGTTCTTTCTTTTTTTTCTCTTAAATTTAAATTCTTTATTGTTGAAAGTATTACATATGTCTCCTTTTCCCCCCATTGACCTCTCCCCAGCTGTCCCCTCCCACCAGCACATGCCCTCACCCCACAACTGTCTGTGTCCATGGGCCATGCCCATATGCATGCATACAAGTCCTTTGGTTGCTCTCTTACCCTCCCCCCGCTCCTCCTCTGCCTTCCCTCTGAGGTTGGATGGTCTGTTTGATGCTTCTCTGTCTCTGGATCTATTTTTGTTCATCAGTTTCTATTGTTCATTATATTCGACAAATGAGTGAGATCATGTGATATTTATCTTTCTTCGACTGGCTTATTTCACTTAGCATAATGCTCTGCGGGTGCATCCATGCTGTTGCAAATGGTAAGAGTTCCTTCTTTCCTACAGCGTGTAGTATTCCATTGTGTAGATGTACCACTGTTTTTTCATCCACTCATCTGCTGATGGGCACTCAGGCTGTTTCCAGATCTTAGCTATTGTGAATTGTGCTGCTATGAACATAGGGGTGCATATATCCTTTCTGATTGGTGTTTCTGATTTCTTGGGAAATATTCCAGGAAGTGGGATTACTGGGTCAAATGGGAGTTCCACTTTTAATTTTTTGAGGAACCTCCATACTGTTCTCCACAGTGGCTATACCAGTCTGCATTCCTACCAGCAGTGCACGAGGGTTCCTTTTTCTTCACATCTTCACCAGCACTTGATTTCAGAAAGGAAGGGAGAGGGGAGAGAGAGATAGAAACATCAATGATGAGAGAGAATCATGGATTGGCTGCCCACTGCCTCCTGCGAGCCCCCTACTGAGGATCGAGCCCACAGCCTGGGCATGTGCCCTTGACCAGAATCGAACCCGGGACCCTTCAGTCCACAGACGGATGCTCTAGCTACTGAGCAAAACCAGCTAAGGCAGTATTTCATCTTTTAAAAATTCTTGAGGCACATCGGTTGAAAGTTGCTGCTCCAGGGCGGATACCTAGGAGTGAAATTGCTGGGTTTCAGTAACTTGGTAACTCTATGTTTAACCTTTTGAATAACTGACACACTTTTTCAAAGAGGCTGCATTATTTTGTATTTCCACAAGTACTGTGAGAGGGTTTCAATTTCTCCATATCTTTGCCATCAACTGTTACTATCTGTCCTTTTCATTTGAACATCATTTGGATGTAAAGCAGTGTGTTAGTGTGGTTTTGATTTGCGTTTCTCTCATAGCTAGTGATGAGCATCTTTTTGTGTGCACATTGTCCATTTCTAGATCTTTGAAGGAATATCTATTCAAATCCTTTGCCCATATTTTAATTGAGTTATCTACCTTTTTGTTACTGAGATGTAAGTATTCTTCACATAGCCTAGGTACAAATGCCTTATCAGATACAGGATTTGAAAATATTTTATCCTATCCTGAGGGTTGTCCTTTCATTTTCTTGATAGTGGCCTTTGAAGCACATTTTTAATTTTGGTGAAGTTCAGGTCATTACTTTTTCTATTGTCTCTTGTGATTTTAGTGTTATATCTAAGGAATCTTTGCCTAATCCAAGGTCATGAAGATTTATAACTATGCTTTCTTTTAAGAGTTTAATAATTTTAGCTTTTGCCAAAATAGTATTTAATTGCTATATATCTTTTTAAAAAAACCCTCAAAGGAGCATTGGCATTATGTAAACTTTAGCTTCAGCCTCGGAAGCCCTAGGCTTTTGTATTGGCTAGTTGTGCCTTTGGAGAATTGAGTGTCAAAGTGCTGTTCTAAATTGAGGTTCCTATCACTCGCATTGCATCCTTTCGGTTTCAGTTAGTATTGAACGATACTTCGAAAGTCAAAGTCCTTTGCCAAGTGTCAAGTATACATGAAAGTTCAACTGCAAGTAAAAAAAAAATAAAGCAGGAAAGAAATGAATAACTTTGAAACTATCAAGTACACATTGAAAGAATTTAATATTATTACTTTGGGGGAGGATTAACTTGAATCCACATCTCCCATCACACAGTACAGTAAATTACAAAACAGTCAAAAATCGATTGTTGTGATGGCTCATCTCTGAAAGATATATAAAAGAAAATAAAAAGCTTATTAATTCTGATTGTAGGACATTGATTTTGATTCAAGAAAACAAGTGTGGCATCAGTGATCTGTATGCTTTAATATGTCAGAGGACAAGGAAAAAAAGGGGGTAAATGTGTAACAGCAGACATCATAGAAGATAATTATCCAAGCTATTTAAAATAGCATAAATCTAGAAAGACAATTAAATCCTAAACATGAAAAATGCAAACCCATTGACTTACTGTTTACAGGGGATGCTCAGGTAATTTACAGGTGGGGGAAAAGTACATTAGCTAGTATAACTTTAAATGAGCACCCTCCATCTTGGCAGGGGTTTGAGGACACAGGTATCATGAAACCTTCTTGGTCTGAATCAAAATATGACTATTGTTGTAAAATCAGTTAAAGTAAGACGTGCCATTTGGACTTTTGACAGGATCTTCTGCAGTATTACGACGAGTTGTGCCAGGAGGTGCCCTCAGTGTTTGTCAATCTGATGGCCCCTAAAGTGAAGAAGGTTGGTAATACTGAAGGTTTATGTTGATTTTCTTGTTTAAGATTACAGTTCTATAGATGATGGGTTTTAGAACATCAGTTCTTGCCTAGACCCTCTGTCTTTCTAGTTCAACTTTATAGCTCTATTATTCCTACACAGTGGTTTCTTGTCTACGTTTTGTTGCCTTTGAAAAGCAACTAAATCTACATAATTAGCACTTTCTAAAAATCCATGATTGCTTCCTGGATAGCTAAAGATGATCAATAAAAAACAAAAAGTCACTTTTGTCAGGTATAATGGAGGAGAAATATAATTAAGGAAATATAACCTATAATATTTCTAAGTAATAAAAGAAAGCCTTTTAAATAAATGCAGATGCTTCTGTTAATGATGGAAACATCCCCCCCCCTTTTTTTTCTAGGTGGAATCCGTGTTGAGACAAGGGCTCACAATATTAACATGGTCATCTCTAACACTAGAAAGCTTCTTTCAAGAGGTTGACTCAGTTTTGAATATGTTCAATCAACTTTTAAAGAAGGTAAAATAGATAAATATGAAAAACTACGTCCATGAATACTCTGTGAGCAATAGTTTGATTGCCTGTGAAACCAACCCCTTTAAAAGGTGTGACTTTTAACTGAAAGGATATCCATTAAGCTAAAAACAGTTAATGCGTTATGTTTCTTTAACTGCTTTGGGCCCTTTTCATTTAGGATTGCCCGTCCTTGTCTCTGAATGACCTTGCCTTTAATACGTTAAAATGATGGCTCACCTCCACAGCTTAGTTTTACAAAACTGTGGACTGTGAAAAAGGGCAGAGCGGAGTTCTTAAATAACCACGCATCTGATATTAATGAAACGAGGGAGTCATCTAGTTGGCTATTGTCTGTGATTCCTGCTGTGCTTGCTAGGTAGAAGCACACTTTTTTGGGGGGTGGGGGAGGGTCATCATTAGCTCTCAGGCGCTTTTGTTTTTTTAAAATTATTTTTTAAATTTATCTTTATTGTTGAAAATTTTACAGATGACCTCTTTTTCCTCGTCATTGACCACCTCCGCCCCACTCCTGCCCCCTCCCCAGGCCTTCACCTCACATATTGTCTGTGTCCACGGGTCATGCAAGTATGCATAGGAGTTCTTTCTAGATACGCTCATCTGTTGGTGTGGCAGTGTGTGGTGTACCGTGAAAACTCAGAGGCTGGGGAGGCGGATACACCTGCGTGTGATCCTCTGCCCTTCACCAGCGTGTGTTTCTCCCACGGCCACTTTCCAGCTCTGAGCATTGGTTTCTTTAGCTGTAAAACTGGAATAGCGATGGCTCATGGGCTGGAATGAGGCTTTAGGAGAGATCGTGCATATGGTACACGTTGCTGCTCAATAAAACTTTAGTTCCAGGTCAAGCTCTTTTTGCGCATATACATCTAAAAATCCCACCAAATTATGCTTGGCTCTGGAGGCAGGATTCCAGCTACAGCCCTCTAAATTAGATGATAACTCAGGTACATTTTGGCTGAAAGAAGAGTTTTCTCCCACATTTATTTTCCTTCTTGTTGGTAGATCAATGACTTGTGTGAGATGCATATTGATACAGTTCTAAAGGAGATAGCCAAAACTGTGTTAATTTCCCTGCCCGAAGCTGGTGCTACCAAAGTGGAAGATATGCTGACGCTCAATGAGGTATGCATTTATGTGTTAGATTTTAATCATGGAGACGCTCATAAACCTGAAATGGGAATTTACAATCCAAGAGTAGAAATCTGTGTCAGTAATATTTAGATATCCTAGCTTTTTGGGGGGACAACCTCAGCTCCCAAAACTTACAAGGCTCCAACAGCTCAGACCGACGGCCACGCCCTAGATATTATTTTACTAATGTCCTCAGCCCCGTGTGGGGTTCTGTCAGAGGCTCACTGCTCTTGTCCCTCTGTCTGTCCTCACGGTTTTCACTGCCACAGACTTCCCTTTCGGTCACCCAGACACCCAGGAGCCAGCAGGGCTCTTTCCTCGCTCCCTTTCCTAAGTCCAGTCAGTCTTCAGACTTAGTCAGGTTTTGCTTCTTCCTCAAATTTTGCTTGAATTGCCTCCCCTTTTCCACGGTTACTACCCCTGTCTTAGGGCAGATCTGTAAGGCTCCTTTGGAGTTTAGCAATCGATGTCATGGTCTAACTAGTCTCTCTGCCTCCATACGTGGCCACATCATATCCAGTCTCCGCATTTCCACCAAATTCAACTGCAAAACTCCCTTGGGGAAACCTGTCCAGTTCCCACAGGATAAAGCCTAACCCTTCTCAACATACACTGGCTGGAAAGGACAGGCCAGGAGCCCTGTCTAATCCTGGTCGAGGCTTGGCACACTAACACAGTCTCTCTCAAAAGCACCCACTTTGTCTTTAACGGACTCCTTTTTCTTTCTTGCCTGCCTTGTGCTTCCGCTACACCCACCCTGCTGGCTTGGGTCACCTTGCCAGTGTCCTTTTCAAGACAACCAAGGGTGGCTTCATCTCAAGGGGTCCGATTAGCCTGTGGAAAACAGGTGCCTTTGCCCCTCTTTCTCTAAAAATGCAATTTCTTCCCCAAACATCTATTCTTGCCTTTAGGGGCTGGGTCTCCCAGCCAGCTTCTTCCCTCAGGACTACTTAAGCATGGGTTTGCACCTCTATCCCCGATTCAAGAGGACTTGGGTCAGAGTCTCTGAGTAGTTCTTTTAAAGTTCCTATACTTACTTCTACCACATCTCTACCAATGATCAAGCTTCCCTTCTATAACCTCGAGGTGGGCAGTGGGCCGAGAGTTGCCTTCCCTGCTACCTTTTAAGAACTGTCTTTTTCATAATGTGTGGGGTATTAAAATTATTTGTTCTCAGCATTTGGGCCTTGGCTGTAATGGCCCATTTTAACATCTTGTTCTCAGAGCATGCAAGTTTGAAATGATTATATCTTTTCACCTTGGGCCATTACAAATAATACTCCTGTGAACATAAATGTACTTTATTTTCATTTATAAACAAACTCGAGGCCCGGTGCATGAAATTCGTGCATGGAGGCGGGGGCATCCCTCAGCCCGGCCTGCACCCTCTCCAATCTGGGACCCCTTGGGGGATGTCCCTCTCACAATCTGGGACTGCTGACTCCTAACCGCTCACCTGCCTGCCTGCCTGATCACCCCTATCCCTTCTGCCTGCCTGCCTGATCACCCCTAACTGCCCTCCCCTGCCGGCCTGATCACCCCTAACCGTCTCTGCCTCGGCCCCCGCCAGCATGGCTTTGTCCAGAAGGAGGACCGGACAACCGGAAGATGTCTGGTCAACCAGGTCTAATTAGCTTATTACCCTTTTATTAGTATAGATAATGTTTCTGTGTACTTCCACCTACCCCTCAGTTCCCTTTCCCTCTGGCTACATTTTAATTTTTTATGGATATATACCTAGGAGTGGAATTGCTAGGTCATATGTTAACTCCAAGTTTAACCTTTTGAAGAGCTGTTGGACTGTTTTCCAAAGCGGCTGCATAATTTTACATCCCCACTAGCTTTGTACAAGGGTTCCAATTTCTCTACATCCTTGCCAACACTTATTATTTGTCTTTTTTACTATAGCCATCCTGGTGGATGTCAAGTGGTGTCTCATTGAGTATTTGATTTGTATTTCCCTAATGACTAGTGATGTGGAACCTTTTTTTCATGTGCTTATTAACCTTTTGTATACCTTCCTTCAGAAATGCCTATTGTTTTTAGTTGTAATTGTTTTTTATATGTTCTAGATACTAGTCCCTTATCAGATATATGATTTGCATTTTTTCTTCGATTCTGTGGGTTGTCTTTTCATTTTCTTGATGTTGTCCTATGAAGCCCCAAAATGTTTAAATTTGTTGTTGTTCAATTTATCTTCTTTTTCTTCTGTTGCTCTGTTTTTGGTATCATAGCTAAGAAAATTTTGCCTAATCCAAAATTATGAAGATCTATGCCTGTTTTCTTTTTAAAAAAATATATTTTTATTGATTTCAGAGAGGAAGGCAGAGGGAGAGAGAGATAAAAACATCAATGATAAGAGAGAATCATTGATTGGCTGCCTCTTGCACACCCTTTACTGGGGACTGAGCCTGCAATCTGGGCACATGCTCTGATTAGCAATCAAACTGTGAGCTCCTTGTTAATAGGTTGATGCTCAACCACTGAGCCACACCGGCGGGCTCTTTTTTTAAAAATTGAATCTATTGGGGTGAATTTATTGTGCACCCATTGCTCCAAGCAAAATCTCTTTCCATCCCTTCCCCCCCTGTGTACCTCCACCTACCCCTCACTTCCCTTTCCCTCTGGCTACCACCACTCTGTTGCCTGTGTCTTTGTGTAATATATACATGTGTGTGTGTGTGTTTTTCCTTAATCCCTTTACCTTCTTATATTCAGTCCACCAACCCCCCTCCTGTCTGACAGCTCTCAGTCTGTATCCCTGCTTCTGTTTCCAGTTTGTTTGTCAGTTTATTTTATTCTTTAGATTCCACGTATAAGTGAGATCATATGGTATTTGTCTTTCTCTGACTGGCTTATTTCACTTAGCATAGTAAACTCCAGGTTCATCCATGCTGTCAAAAAAGATAAGATATCATTTTTTTTAGCATATGCCTGCGTTTTCTTTTGATAGTTTTACAGTGTTAGCTCTTATGTTTAGGTCTATGATTCATTGTGAGTTAATTTTTGTGTATGGTGTAATGAGAGGATTCAATTTCATTCTCTTGCAAATAGATAAGATATTCAGTTGTCCCAGCACCAGTTGTTGAATCTCATTAACTTTATTATCATATAGTATTGAAAACATATGAAGAATGTATGTGGCATCCTCTCATTTATTCATGTGGGCATATTCTTTTTAAAAGATTACTTTGTGTTATTTATTTGTTTATTTTTTTTAGGTTTTTGGAAGTAACAGGGGATTGCCCAAGTAAACATGTATGTTCAACCTGTCAGGTTTAACTTGTAGTGTCTGGTTCTTTTCTCAGGGGATTTCAAATCAAAGCAAGCAGGGATGGGGATGGCTGATGGTGTAAACTTGTGTTTACATTTACACAGTTGAACACAGGTGGTCAATCTGCCAGGATCAGCCGGAAGTGTCTACTGCTTAGCACTCGTTTTCCCTGCTAGAATGAAGTGGCTCTCAGCCACCATTGCCATTCCAGTGTTCAACATTATGTTGCGTAATTAGAAAGGATGGAAGGAATGAATGATGGAGCAAAGTCAGAAGAGTTGGTGGGGGTGCAGAGGATCAGAGAATGTCTTCGGGGAGACTGGGAAAAGATGGGGATGGGTTCAGATACAGAAGAGGTGGTATAAATGGAAGTGACAAACTCAGAAGTATCTCCCTCAATCCAGTAGCCAAGGAACACATGAGGGCAGCACACGGGGAGTGTGGGCCTCACAAAGCTCGTAGGAGAGAGGTTTGCATGGACAGGCGTGGGTTCCTTCCAGGAAGTCATTTGGAGGCCCAAGTCGGCTGGTCCCATTTACTTTTCCCTTTTCTAAAATGTCTGGATGTTGTCAAAAGACCTATTCATTTCTATAAACCTGCTTTCTTTTTTGAATTTAACTAGTTTTCAACTTCTTCCTAAAGCCTTTTTTGACTATTAAAAAAGTGTAGAGCCCTAGCCAGTTGGCTCAGTGGATAGAGCGTCGGCCTGCGGACTGAAGGGTCCCAGGTTCGATTCTGGCCAAGGGCACATGCCCAGGTTGCGGGCTCGATCCCCAGTCGGGGGCGTGCAGGAGGCAGCCAATCAATGATTCTCTCTCATCATTGATGTTTCTATCTCTCTCTCCCTCTTCCTTCCTCTCTGAAATCAATAAAGAAATATATATTTTAAAAAAAAGTGTAGAAAGGCAAAAGCACAGGCTTTTAGAATCAGTCAGAGCTGGCCTTCAAACCTCTATTTTTACCACCCACTGGGTGACCTTGGACACGTTTCTTATTCTTTCTGAGCCTCCGATTTCTCATCTGTGGGATGGGGACGATAATAGTACCTGTCCCAAGCGGTTGTCCTTTAATTAAATGAGTAAATATACACAAAGCTCTGAAATTTTAATGCTGGCATACACCATGCTCACTTAAAAACCTAATTTCATTTGAATCTCAGTAACACTTTGGATTGTCCTTTTTCAAACTACTTCTCATTTCAACATTTTAAAAAAATATGTTTTTAAAAAATTGATTTCAGAGAGAGTAAAGGAAAGGGATAGAAACATCAATAATGAGAGAGAATCATTGATTGGCTGCCTCCTGCATGCCCCCTACTGGGGATCAAGCCCAAAACCCATACATGTGCCCTGATGGGGAATTGAACTATGACCTCCTGGTTCATGGGTGGATGCTCAACCCTGAGCCACACCGGCCGGACTCATTTTGAACTTTTGACAATATTATGTCTCTGCTTTTTCAGCCTTCTTTTTTTTCATCATATAAATGTGAATGTAGATGTCTGTGTGTGATTGAGTCAGGTAAAGGTCAAAGACTGAATTTTCCTTCTTTCTCCTTCTCTTGGCCTGGGCCCGAGCAGCTGTGCCTTTAGCCATTGGCAGTTTTGGATCTGAAATATTATGCTATTGGCAACTATCTCTAGTTATTTTTAAGTGGCGGTTAATTATAGTTTTTAAAATAATTTTCACAGTGTTTAAAAAGTATCTGGAAATTAATAATGATTTTTTAATTTAATAGACATACACAAGAGAATGGGCTGATATTCTAAACCACAAGAGTAAGCATGTGGAAGAAGCTGTCAGAGAACTTATATCAATATTTGAGGCTATTTATGAAGTTAAGTACAGTGTGAAATTAGGAAAACACGTATCAGGTAATTTCACTAGCTATAATGTTTGAATCACAAGAATTAAAAGTATGTTCGCAAGTAGACTCCTTCTGCTTAGCAGCAACCAAAATTCCAGACTCCCAGAAGGAAAGCAAAGCAGGTGTTCAGCATCAACCACATTGTTTGCATTATTTGCATTGTTTAGGCACAGTGAGCCCTTTAAAAAAAAAGTATATTTTTATTGATTTCAGAGAGGGAGGGAGAAGGAGAGAGACAGAAATATCAGTGATGAAAGAAAACCATTGATCGGCTGCCTCGTGCATGCCCCCTACTGGGGACAGCCCGCAATCTGGTCATGTGCCCTGACTGGAATTGAATCGTGACCTCCTGGTTCATAAATCGATGCTCAACCACTGAGCCACACAAGCCGGCCTGTTTTATGAGTTAGAGCAACGATTTTCAACCTGTGTGCTGCAAGAATTTTTAAAACATGCAATACCTGACTATTTAGCCAGGAGCACTATCCTCTTTTCCCTTAGGTTGTCAAATTAAGAGATGACAGCAGCCAACACAACAATAGATGTCCAGTGTGAATGAATCAAAATTATACCTTTTATTTTTGTCAGACAGGCAAAAAATATAATGTATTTCTTGGTGTGCTGCAGAATTTTAGTAATTAGTTTATGTGTGCCAGGAGTTGAAACAGGTTGAAAATCGCTGAGTTAGACAATGGTGGGAAACCTTCTGAAATCCCAGTTCCCAGATACCAACCAAGGACCAACCTTGCAAGCAGAGCTTTTCCTGGATAGCAGTCTCAGGTTTGCTATAATAATCTCCTCTCTCTCTCTCTCTCTCTCTCTCTCTCTCTCTCTCTAGCATTCTTAAAGGCCTGGAGACATTGTTGGCTGTCACACAGCCAGGGGAGGAGGTGCCAATAGCCTCTAATGGGTAGAGACCAGGGATGCTGCTGAATATCCTAAATGCTCAGGACAGCACCCGCCTCCCCAAGATACCAAGAATAGCAGTAGTGCTGAGGCTGAGAAACTGAGCCTAAACAGCAATCCATACATACCTTCTTTCTCTTAGAGTTTTCCCACTTAGTTTAATTAGTTTTCCTCAAAAGTGTCAAAACACAAACATCTCAGTTCATTACATTATAAAACTCCAAAAGTAAATAAATATTTTAGAAAGATAGTAAGTGAAAACCTTAAATGTTTCTTAATTCCAGATACGAAGACATTATATTTTAAAAAGTATATTTCTCAGTAGAATAATAATTCTATTGAGATGGGTGTTTTAAATGGAATTCAAGGATGATTCCTATGGGAACAAATTTTAAATTTTTAAATTAAGGACTTTTTAAGAAGAGGTTTTTTTTTTTTTTCTTAAAAGAAGTTTTGGCCATATATAATAAGCCAAGTGCTCAATATTAAATGTTATATCTTGTTTTGTATTTTATCTGTAGAACATAGGAAACATGTTGTGTTTGGAAGTGAAGCAGAAGAGACTGAAAACACTGATTATGAGACTTCAATTATGCCGGAGGTTGCTGTTAACGAGAAAGAAGATGAGTTTAAAAAGGTATTTATTGTGAAACGACCTCATTGGATTTCACAGAGTTATGACTCAGAGGTTGTAGGTAATCTGAGTGGTGCTTCATCCAGGAGGTTCTGCAACCAATCCGTGTGGATTTATAACGAATTTGGATTTGTAACAAAGTCCACAAAATGTAATGTTCAACTCTGCACTGAAGAATCTGGCAAGATACAGCAATCCTTACAGTTTTCCCCAACTTCATCAACTTTTAATGTGATGTGTCAACTACGTTTACATTATATACTCACCTTCCCCTTTGGTGATTGGCCCTGTTTTCTTACATAGTAAAGGCCACTCGGGGACTGGAGTGCCGGTCTGTTTGACTCAGATTGGGGAAGGTTTTCCTGTTATTGTGCTTAACAGCATTACCTGTCTTGCAAGCCCAGATTTTGATTCATTCGGGGTCCAGGGATCTGCATTTGCATCAGCACCGTGGGCAGCCTATGGACTCTCCCCCAGGAGAGACCCCGAGTGGGCAGATTTTCACGTTGTGTGGAGAATGGAGGTTGAGAAGGAGGCACCGGGTTTCTTTCTCCTCTGGTCTCGCCCTCCAGGTGACATCAGCACCGAATGCCCTGCCACGTTTGTGCTAATTCCTGCTTCCCCTGCTCCCGTCAGTCTTCCTTTAACCCGTGGTGCTCATCGTCTTTTCATGCTTTCTATTTCACATTCTTTTGCACTTTAACACACACTGTACTACAGGCAGTTTTGGAGATAAGTAGCACACATTTGTTCCACTCTCACCTTCTTGCTCAAGGATGATCATCAGCAATTGATGGGAAACACTGTCTTGCCGATTCCAGATTTTAGCTGCGGATTTCCTCTCAGAACCTTGCACCAGCCGCTGTTAGTAGTCTGCAGGCTTCGGCCAGAGCAGGAGGGGGGTCCCGGGCCAGCGGCCCTTCTCTTTCAGCTGCCTTCCCTGCAACACAGGCTGGGTCCTCAGAGTAAGACCGGGTGCCGCCAGAGCCTCTGGAATTGCTGGGTCACCTGGGCGGCATCAGTGCAGCCACCTCCTTGGTAGCCTCCACCTTCCACATGGCTGCCAGAGTGGCCTGTCTGACATCAGTATGGATTATGTCACACCCGTGCTTTAGCCGGATAACTCACCGACCCTGACCTACTCCTCCTGGTTCACACCTGCTGAGCCGTCCTTCTTACCCAGCTCTCCGAAATCAATAAAAATACATTTTAAAAAATAAGCAAGTCATTTAGGATTGACCTTATACAATATAATCGAAATTGTGTAGTTTATGATTTTTCATTTTTCACACGACACTTCTGATATTGTATTCTTGCTTTGGGGATGTTAGAGTTTTTTTCTTTTGTACCAAATGTAATGTGATTTCTCATTACAGGAATGTAAAGAGGTCTATGCTTTCTTCTCTCATCAATTACTAGACAGTCTTCAAAAAGCTACACGGTTATCTTTGGACACAATGAAAAAAAGAATATTTGTTGCAAGGCAAGTTGAAAATACACTAAATATATCTGGCACTACTATCTGTAATAACAATGCTAACAAGAGCACCTTTTTATTAATTTAAAAAATGATAAAATTTAAAATATAACATTGATGAAAAGACTGTATGAAAACACTAGAGGCCCTTCATGCACTGGTGGGGTCCCTTGGCCTGGCCTGTGGGGATCGGGCTGAAAGTGGCTCTCCAACATCCCCCGAGGGGTCACTGGTTATGAGAGGGCGGTTCTCGAGTGACGCACCCCGGAATTGGGCTCCCTCCTCTCTGGTTCTGGGTGTGTCACCCGAGAACCGCAGCTGCCAAGTCACTGCAGCTCGGCAGCTCCTGCGTTGAGCATCTGCCCCTTGCTGGTCAGTGCACATCATAGCTACTGGTCAGAGCATCTGCCCCCTGGTGGTCATTGTGCATTATAGCTACCAGTCAGCTGGTCACTTAGGCTTTTATATATATAGACTAGAGGCCCAGTGCATGGATTTGTGCACTGGAGGGGTCCCTTGGCCTGGCCTGTGCCCTCTCACAATCCAGGACCCTTGGGGGATGTCGGAGAGCTGGTTTCAGCCTGATCTCCGCAGGCCAGGCCAAGGGACCCCACCAGTGCACGAATTCGTGCACCAGGCCTCTAGTATGCATATAAGGTCTTTGGTTAATCTCTTCCTGCCCTCCCCTCTCCCCCCTCCCCACTTCCCTCTGAGATTCATCAGTCTGTTCCATGTTTCCATGCCTGTGTATTGAGCGTCTGCCCCCTGGTGGTCATTGCACATCATAGCTACTGGCCGGTCAGCCGGTCTCTTAGGCTTTTATATATATAGATAAGGGTAATATTGCAAGAACAGTGATCAAATGAACAACCAAGTTACTGGCAGCCAGGCCAAGATGAAAAACACAGAACAGTCCCCTTACAGGTCCTCTCTGGCTCACCCAAAGGTAACTACTATCCTGAACTTGATGTTTATCACGGTCCTTAGGGTTTAGTACATATTTGTACCCCCAGTCAATGTGTCATTTAATTTTGCCTGTTTTGGACTACGTTCAGCATTATGTTTTTGAGATTCATCTATGTTGATGTAACTTATTTCACTTTGATATGGTTGAAGCATACATAATCTGTTTTTCTGTTCTACGGGCGATGGCCATTTGGGCTGTTTCTGGTTTGGGCTACTGTGAATAAAACCTCTGTGAACATTCTGGTACCTGCCTCCTGCTAAGAGTGGAAAGGCTGGGCCCTAGAGCATGTGCCTGCCTCACTTCGCCAGGCAAGACCTAGAAGGAGAGTCCCATGGCTCCGCATCCTCGCACACAGTTGGTATTGCTCAGTGAAAAAACCTTGTGTGAATGGCATCTCATTGAATTTTCGATGATCATTTTCCTAGTTACTGTTGAGGCTGTACACATTTTTATGTTTATAAGCCATTTGTGCTTTCTCTTTCTTAAAATTTGTGTTTCCCTTCCCTTCTCTTCCTGAACACTCAAAAATAATTTATTTACTGGCATATTTTATTAAAGTCTTCAGGTTCTTATGTATTTCTTATCCCACTGATTGCTTAGTGAGAATATGTGAGGGGTAAACTCTCTGATCTTCATTTTGAGTCTAAAAATGCCCTTTTTTGCCCTCTTACTTTCATGACAAGTTTGGCTGGATAAAATTTTTTTTTTTGTCTCTCAGCACTTTGAAAGTACTTCATTTTTTCTGCTCTTTTGTTGCTGATGAGAAGTCTGTAGTAATTCTAGTGGAAGATTGCTTTTTATCCTGGATGTTCTGCAGTCTTCTCTCCCTGTGAGGACTTGTCTTTACTTATCCTGCTTTGTTCTCAGAGTACACTTTCTATTTAATGGCTTATAGTGTTCCTTAATTCCAGAAAATCCCCAGCAATTTTCTCTGCAGTTATTGCTTCTGGAACATTCTCTCTCTCTCTCTTTATTTTTGTTTTGTTAATTCTCACCTGAGGATATTTTTTCCATTCTTTTTTTTTTTTTTTTTTTTTTTTTTTTTAGAAAGAATGGAAGGGAGGGAGGAAAGGATGGAGGGAGGAAAGAGAGAGATAGAGATAGAAAAAGAGAGAGAGAGAAACATCGATGTGAGAGAAACACATCAATCATTCCCTGACTGGGGCTGGGGATTGAACCTGCAGCCCAGGCACATGCCCTTGACCAGGAATTGAACCTGCAATCCTTTGGTGCACCGGCCGATGCTCTAACCAGTGAGCAGCACTGGCCAGGTGGGACATTCTCTTATGGAACTCCTAATAGCTGAACGTTGAATGGATTGACCACATAATTTTTTGTTCTAACCAGGACACTTTTTTGTGAGGAACATGATTCAGGTGAAGGGTCAGGACAGACTTAACCCAGACTGTCCTGGGCACACTGGATGTGTGGTCATCTCAAGTGCTGGGGCCTCTCCTCCCTAGCACCTAACTACTCTGTCATTTAGTTTGTTTTTTTTTTTCATTTCTGGGCTACATTATGGGCCAGCATCTCTGTATCTTATATAATAAAAGCCTAATATGCTAAGTGTCCGGTCATCTGTTCAACCAATCAAAGTGTAATATGCTAATGATATGTTAAGGCCACTCAACTGCTCACTATGGCACACACTGACCACCAGGGGGCAGACTCTCCGATCAGGTTAGCTTGCTACTGGGGTTCAGCTGATTGGGACTAAGCGAGCGAGGCTGGACACACCCTGGAGCCCTCCTGTGGTCCCTCCCCAGCTGGCCAACCTCCTGCATCCCTCCCCGACCCTGATCGTGTACTGGTGGGGTCCCTTGGCCTGGCCTGCGCCCTCTCGAAATCTGGAACCCCTCTGGGGATATCGGAGAGCTGGTTTCGGCTTGATCCTGCAGGCCAGGCCCAGGACCCAACTGGTGCACTGGGCCTCTAGTCTAGTATAACGTGATTTCATCTGTTGCATCTTAAACATTTCAATGAATACTTTTTCTTATCATTTCTGCCTTTTTAGTTGAGCAATTTTAGCCTTCATTTCTATCTTTGAACATTCTCATTATACTTACTTTAGAGTTTGTCATACTTCTCTACATTGACTTTTATCTGGAGTGAGTTTCTGGTTCAATTATGGATTTCTTTAATTCCCTTTCTTACTGTTTGACATAGTTATTCTTGTTGGGATTTTACTTCATATGTCCTCTTTGAGCCAGAGATTTTTTGTTTTTGAGTCTTTGTCTCTCCTTCTCTGTCTCTCTGTCTAGGAGTTTCACTTTTGCGTCCACATGACCCTCAGAACTTTGAATACAGAGTCTGGTCTTATTGGTTCACAGTTACTGCCCCCCTGAAGAGGTACTAGAATATGGCAGGTTCAGCGGGGAACACAGAAGAGGCCCGGCTTAGTCGCTTATTGGGGTGCTGTGCCTTTGCTTCTGTCACCCCAGTCCCGCATCTTCTGGAAAAACTGTAGCTGCAGGCAGTTGGTTGTATTTATAACTGGAGGTGTAGTTTCTCAGTAATGACAGTATTTATTGCTATGGAAATTTTACATCTGTATATAAAAGGCTAATATGCTAGTCTCCAACCATCCAACCACTCACTATGACACACCCTGACCACCAGGGGGCAGATGCTCAAGGCAGGAGCTGCTGTGACAAGCACCGGCCATTTACAGAGAATCGGCACCATGGACCTGGTGTCCACAAAGCAACACTTAGCTTCCCCCAAGTGGGACACAGGCCCTGCCACCATCCAGAAGTGACACCCCACCAAATTGCAGCCGATGCTGCCAAGACCCCCTGGCGCAAAATGGGGCCCACAGCCCAGCCCAGCCCAGCTCTGAAACGGTGGCTGTGGGCACCGGGTAATGTTGTTACCCAAGATACAGCAATCCAGCTTCCTCTTCCTAGTGACTAGCCTCCTTGGAGTTTCTTCAGCCCAGGAACACGGCTTGCTTTATAGCCAGGTGCAAACATTTTACACTGTAACCAAATGTCTGTAAAGCTTTTTCCTGTGCCTCACCTCATTTGAGCCTCACAGAAGTCCTGGGGTAAGTAGATAGGAGACTCGGTGGAATCCTATTTTCCTTTCATTAGCCGGAAAATGGAGATTTAGAAAGTTTAGAAACTTGACCCGACTGAAAAGAAGTAAGAAATGGTGGACCTTGAAAATGACTTTAGGTTTTCTCACTGTGAAGAATGTCGTCAAACACCGCTGCAGTTAAATGTTTTACCCTTTGTTCTCCCTGAATGATCTACAATAATAATGTGCTTCGTGTTGATATTTACTGCTGTGTTGCTGACAATTACCTGAAAGAGAAGGTGGGGTGCTTCACTGGGCTGGAAAAAGTTTAGCTAAATCAGGTCTAATTAAGCAAGTTTATTCTATATACTAGTATATAAGAGGCTAAGTTGACTCATGCATGTGTGATACATACAAAGCTCTCGCTGGCGCCAATTGCACGCGTGTGTTTTGATCTGCCATGAATTTGGTTGACACTTCTATTATAGAGAAAGGGCGAATAGCGTTATTAAAATATATTTTTTAATTAATTTCCTTTCAATGTGCACAAATCTGTGCACCAGGCCTCTAGTTTATTATAATTTTGTCTGGGATGGGGTCAGATGTCAAGGCAGAGGGAGATAACCAAACTAATTTGCAGGTCTGGTATATGTCAGTTACTTGCACTCGTGTGTTTGTATGTCTGTATTTCTGTCTGAGCATGAGAGATATTGTTTAAAATGGAAGGTTTTTGGAAGCTTTGACAAAAACCTCCTGTTTAATTTTACAAAAAAGTATATATAGAAGAATACATGAAGGTATATGTTTTTTGTTGGTGAATCTTGTCCAATATTTGTTATGGGGCTGGGAAAAAAGAATGCTTTTAACACATTATTAAATGCTTGTGACTAACAGAACATTAAAATACTAGAAAATGTAAATGAGACTTAATATTTTACTTCCAATAATATTGTCACTGTCATTTTTTAGCTCTCTGAAATTTATGGTTTCATTATAAAAACATTCTCTTCATATAATTTAGTATTTTGAAATTATCTTTATATTTTAGGATTGAGTGTGGTAGCATAGCAAGCTATTTATGAAATTATAGGTTAAGGTTTATCAGTTAAATGTCCATCTTATTACAGCCTCTATGGACGAAAGCGGGCAGAAGATGTCATTTCCTTTATAAAAACGGAAGTACATCTTGCAATTCCTAATGTGGTAAGAATGATCAAATAGCCAAGTTAACACAAGGATATTTGGGTAATGTATTTGACAAGGGCTACACGAGAACTGAACTTTCATTTATGGTAACCTCTTGGTCCTATGTATCTTTCTATCTCACCCCCGTATTTAACAAAAATAAAAATATTATCGTTAACCTCTGTTATAAAAATTGCTCTGCATAGCTCATGGTGTGCTGAAGTGGAGTCAAGCGTCTGGTCAGCCATCAGTTAGCAAGTATTCTATAAATCTTGCTTTTTCTTGCTTCAAACATTAAATTATCTAAATAAGACCACCTCAAACACACGACCGTGAGGCAACCCACTAAGTGTGGCAGAATAGAAAGAAAGAGAGAGCCTACACCCTGAGCACCATGGGACCCTTGTGCTTTCTCATGGACCATCTCTCCCACCACCCACTGCCAACCGGCATCTGGAACTCTGACAGGTGCACGCTGTGAGGGTTAGGGTTAGGCCAGGGGGGACAGGCTGTGTCTCACCTGCTCCACGTCCCCGCTTCCTGGAGGCACAGTTCAGAGCCTGAGGTCAGACTCTTGGTGGGGGAGCTTCCTCCGTGGTTTTGCTTCATGGACACCCAACACATAGTCCACAACTGTTGGCTGCATCCAGCCCCCCTCCCAGGGAAAGGATGCCAGGTCCTGTGTTCGACCCTCTTGCCTGCAGGAACTGAGAAAGTCCGCATGCAGTCTGCACTGCCCTCACACCCCCCTCCTGAAAGCAGCCGTTTCTTGGGGGCAGCTGAGGCTTTCCCCACTTGGGGGGGGCGGGGAGGGAAGGGGGCGGTGAGAAGCAGAGGGACGGAGCGCATGTGCCAGCAGAACCAGAGACTTGTTTCTTCTTCTACAGGTGATGGTTCCGAGCTTGGATGACATTCAACAAGCCATTAACCGGATGATCCAGTTAACCCTGGAGGTCAGCAGAGGAGTGGCTCACTGGGGGCAGCAGCCCACCCGGCACATGAAGAATCTGAAGGTCAGTCCCAGCCGCACCGCTGACCTGGCGCATCCAAGTGGAGGAAAGCAGCTGAAGAGGGAAGAAAGTAAGAGCGCTACATCTCAGACCGATAGAGTCTTTGGGTTACAATGTACACGTGCTCTTCTCCGGCTCGTCCTGGGTTCAACAGCTTATAGATATTTTTAAAAGTAACTTTTATATGTTTATTTGTTAAGTTTTGCCTTTAAAAAACGAGTGTTTACCACCCTCCACTTTTTAAAAAGATATGTTTTTATTGGTATTAGAGAGAGAGAAAGAGAGAGGGATAGAGAGAGAGGAATGTTGATGAGAGAGATACGTCAATTGGCTGCCTCCTGCACGCCCCCCACTGGGGACGTGCCCACAGCCCAGGCATGCGCCCTTGGCCAGAAGCAAACCTGGGACCTTTCAGTCCGTAGGCTGATGCTTTATCCACTGAGCTAAACCAGCAAGGACATACAATACATTATTATTAACTACAGTCACTATGCGACATGAGGTCTCCAGAACTTATTCACCTTATAACGGAAAGTTTGTATCCTTTTTCTCCACCCTCAGACTCTGGTAACCACTATTCTACTCTCTGTTACTATGATTTTTTTTTTACAATGAAAAGTTTTCATTGTAAGTATTTTCAGCCTTAAAAAGAAGGAAATCCTGCTATTTGTGACAACATGGATAAATCCAGAGGGCACTATGCTAAGTGAAATAAGCCAGACACGGAAGAAAAATATTGGATAATCTCATTTATGTGTGGAATCTAAAAAAAAGTAAAACTCTTTTTCTGAAAATACACTACCTCCTCTGGTAACCAGGGAGATGCCAATTAAACATAAGGTGCCGTGTGAGTTACAGGAACAGGTGGCCCAGACCCCCATGCCACCTTTCCGTGTTGCACAAACACGCCTCTCTCGGCTCATCTCTATAGTCTCACGGGGTATTCCCTATAACCAGCTGATAGAGGACAAACACAATCTCAGGCCTGGTCTATGGTGAGTTGGCTTGATGTGTTGGTGTGAGCTGAAATGCACTAGAGCCTACTCAGCAGTGGCCCTTAAGGACTGCGAGAGGGGGAGTTTCCCCGTGGGCAGAGCTTCAAGTAGCATCTCCTTTTGAAGGAGGGAGAAGTGATCTGAAGTGAAGGTATACGTGGACTCGTGGGCAGTGACAATGGGTGGACAAGTTGTGCAGGTCTTAGAAGTACCAACACTGGGAAATCAGGGGCAAGGAGGTCTGGGGGAAAAGCCTGTGAATGAATCTATGGATCTATGAATCTATGGATCTATAAATATACAAACCTAGCGACGGGGCTAGGAATGAATCCAGAGGAGAGGACTGGAGTCCAATCATCTGATTTTCAGTCCATTAGTCTATTATTGTAGCAGGCCAAACGTAAAGCTAAAAACCATAAGGTGCAAGAATCTTTCGACTAATCAGCAACTTTGCAAATAAGAATTCTATTCTCTGCCATATTATCAACCAAGTGTGATGGTAGAATAAAGGCATTTTCGGACATTGACTGTCTTAAAAAATTTTACCCAGTGCACCCTTTTCCACAAAGTTACTGTACCCTTTCAAAATGAGAAAATAAAGCAAAGAAAAAAGAGAAGAAGACAGGAGATGTAGGAAACAGGAGTGGAATGCAGCAGGGAGGTGAAGGGAATTCCCCGGTGGACGGTAAAGGATGAGTACACAGGGACACGTGTAGTCTAAGCATAGAGGGCCCCCAGTGTAACTCAAGAGAGAGACGAGTTTCCGCTGCTCTCGCCACGGTGCCTGGAGCCATTGTACCGTCTTTTAACTTGAAGACGTGAACCTGGTCCAGATTCTTGTCTGTGCTTGCCTGCTTTCACCATGTGCTGACAGAGTCGCTGCTCTACTCGCATTGCTCTGGGTCAGCGGGAGGAGCTCGGGTCGCTCTGAAGGGTTCTGCTTTGGCTGCTACTGAGAACTGGAGGGAAGGCGATGTGATCCAGGAGAACACGGAGTAGCCCGCTGTCCCGGCCCTATTTCTGCTGGACATCCATTACTTGGCTCATAAACACGGCCCTGCCAGGTGCCCTGATTGCGATGAGAACTGTATTATCTCGATACTGCAGGACTCACGATCCTTCGCCATGGCTTCCTCCAAAGGGCTTTTGTCAGCCTGCAGGACGCGGCAGCAGGACTAGACCCAGAGACTAGCTTCTTTTCTCCTGGGAGCCTCCATCTAGCACGAGCATTAATGTCTTTCTTTCTACGTGTGTCCTTTGGCTCAGTTTTTAAAAAACCAAACGACATATTGTCTAGAGATAAGTATGTTGGTTTACCTTCAAGTACAAAATGCAGGAGAGCGGTTACCTCTGGGGGTCAGGGAATGTGATTGGAGAGAGGCCGAGAGAGGATTGCTGATATCTTGGCATTCTCTTCTTAACCCGGTGCTGAGTACATTGAAATGATCTTTTTCTCCTTAAGTATATGTTTTATATACTTTGAATTCTTTTTTAACAAATGTGTTATATGTGTTGTAGCAGGCCAAACGTAAAGCTAAAAACCATAAGGTGCAAGAATCTTTCGACTAATCAGCAACTTTGCAAATAAGAATTCTATTCTCTGCCATATTATCAACCAAGTCTGATGGTAGAATAAAGGCATTTTCGGACATTGACTGTCTTAAAAAATTTTACCCAGTGCACCCTTTTCCACAAAGTTACTGTACCCTTTCAAATTGAGAAAATAAGGCACAAATGTGTTATATCATATTCTGTGAATATGATATAGTTCACTCATCCACATACATCCTCTTAGCAAACTAGGAATATGAGGGATGTTCTGATAATGCTATCCATGGAAAAATTTAGAAGCATTTCTTTTCCATCAAAATGAAGAAATGATTTTATCAGTTTTATTCAATATTCTACTGGAGATCTTCACTATGAGTCAGACAATAAAAAAATTAGATGAGTAATTAGAAAAGAAGCCAAGATTGTGTTTATTTAAAGATCATGCATAGGAAGTTCAAGCAACCTAGAAACAACTATTATAACTAATAAGTTCAATAATATTTATGTATAAAGACCTATATATAAAAAGTATCTGTAATGGCCAATAATCCAATTAAAATGTAATACACTTATGCCAATTATATCTCAATAAACCTGGAAAAAATGTAATAGAAAAAACAGATTTTCAATAGCCACCAAACCATGAAGTTTATAAATAAATGTAAAAAATATTTTCACAGCATTTTTGGAGAAAATGGTCATTACTGAATGACAACTGGAATGAATTTATAACATGAAGAAGTCAATTTCTTGATTAATTTACAAATTCAATACAATTCCAGTAAAATTACAACAGAATTTTTTTATATAATTTCTTAATCTAATTTTAATAATTTATTGTAAAACTATATGGAAGTGGAGAGAGTCAAAAATAGCTCAAAAATTGGTGAAGAAAAACAAGGTAGGGGGCCCTGCAAAATAGCAACTGATCAATGCTTCTCTCTCAAATCAATAAAAACAAATCCTTGGGTGAGGATCCATAAAAGAAAAAAATTGATAAGTTGAACTTTATTCAAATTAAAAATCTTTGTTCTTTAAAAGATACCATTAGAAAAATTAAAAAGAGAAGCCACAGATTGGGAGAAAATGTTTGCAAATCAGACATCTGATAAAGTACTTGTGTTCAGAATATAAAAAAGAACTCTCACAACTGAATTATAATAAGGTACTTCCCCTATCCCAAACGGACAAAGGATTAGACAGTTCAAAAAGATGATGTATGATTGGCTAATAAACACATGAAAAGATGCTCAACACCCTTAGTTATTAGGAAAACGCAATTTTAATAAACCACGAGCTAATACTACACACCAATTAAAATGGCTAAAATGAAAAGAAAAAAAAGATAATTGACAATCCCAATTGTTGACAAAGAACCTGGAACTCTGATGCATTACTGATGGGAATGTAAAAAGGTACAGCCACTTTGGAACCAGGTAGGCCCTTCCTTAAAAAAAATTAAACATATCTTCACCATTTGGCTCAGCAACTCCACCTTTAGGGATTTTATCTAAGAGAAATGAAATCATGTGTCCATATAAAGGCTTGTATGTGAATGTTCATAGCTGCATTATTGGTAATAGACCCAAAATGCTAACAACCTAGATACCCATTGGTGAATGGGTGAACAAAATGTGGTATGTTGATACAATGGAATACTTCTCTGCAATAAAAGGGAAAGAACTACCCAGACATGCACTGTTAGTTAATTAACTTAATTAAGCCAATTCCTTGTCATTTTCTTTTGCTTGAATTTTGATTAAATATAAGACAAAAGAGCAAATAAGTGACCGGCCTTGGAGGAGACACTCAGCTTCAGCTAATTGTTGCTGTGAAATGTAGACCCTATGCTACTAGCTTTTAAGAGAAAAGCTGAAAATCTGGAATTTTGTGTGAATCCCACGATTTTTCATTGTTAGCAGCTGGTTGAAAAGGGAAGGCACTGTTAGAGTCAAACAACAGTATCTGCATAGTCTCGGATGGAGGATACTTGAAGATGTCCATTGAGGCTGGGACATGACCAGATTTTGGCAAGAGATGCTGATAGCGGTGGCTAGTAGTGATTGGGTGAGCTCCATGTACCAGCTGCTGAGCTGAAGACGGACATATGTTGTCTCATTTCGTTCTCACAAGTATCTCCATGAGGACTAAATAACTTTCCTAAGGTTATGTGGGTAATAAATGTGGTGCCTCTCCTCTAACCACCATACTATTTTGGAAGGTAGCAATTTCAACTTTTTTGACCTTTTCTTGGAGGACTTTAAGTTTTTTGGGAAGGGGGAGTGCGGGGGGGTTAATCAGTGCCTTTCAGTTCTCTCCTCTGAAAAACACAGTTTTTCCACATTAAAGAAATCTGGACCTTAAAATATTTTTAAATGTTTTTATTGATTTTGAGAGAGAGAGAGAGAGAGAGAGAGCGAGAGAGAGATCGACGCGAGAGCAGAGCATCGATGAGCTACAGCTCAGGGATGTGCCCTGGCTGGCAATTGAACCAGCAACCTTGAGGGTCACAGGATGACACTCAACCAACTGAGCCACACCGGCCAGGGCTCAAAATAGTTTAAGACACAATAGTTTAAGAGCTTAGTTGGTTGAGGGTCATCCTGTGCACAGAAAGGTTGCCAGTTGGAATCCTGGTCAGGGGCATGCAGGAGGCATCTGATCCATGTTTTGCTCTTGCATGTATATTTCTCTCTCTCTCTCTCTCTCTCTCTCTCTCTCTCTCTCTCTCTCTCTCTCCTTTTCCTCCTCCTCTTCCACCTCCTCCTCCCTCTCTAAAAAATCAATAAAAATATTTTTTTTAAAAAGAAGTGAAGACAGCAAGAGAATAGTTCTTAATTACTTTAGAGAGGGAGTCTATAAAATAACACAGCTTGAAAAAGTCTATAAATATTGAAATGGATATAATATTTAAAGTTGTATAGACGTTGTCCATATGTGAAAACATCTGTTTTCAGGATCTTTTGAAGACCTAATTCCTGCGAGGAAGCTGAAGAATTTTTATCCTGGTGTAGCAGAACACAAGGATATTTCCAAGTTGGTCCTGCTCCTTTCTTCCTCCGTGAATTCTCTAAGGAAGGCAGCCCATGAGGCTCTGCAGGACTTCCAGAAATACAAGACGCTCTGGACAGAGGACCGAGACGTGAAAGTGAAGGTGCATTTCTGCTGCCTGGGATGCAGTTGGGGTTTGGTTTGTTTATATCTAGTGTGTGCAGGAGCACCAAGAAAATATCGGTGATAATGATAATGGCAATAACCTATAAGTGCCAAGCACCTAACCTGTTGTATCGTGTGTCACTCTCACAGTGACACTCTGAGGCTCTGAGTCAAATTCATGTCTGAATTTCGTGTAATTTGGGTAAACAGTTGAGGACCAGTTATGTTCAGACCGTCCAGGGGCCAGGCACTCAGAGTGTGCACACCTACAGAGGCTCCGCTGTAGTTTTAGTCAGACTCAAGGGAACCTGAGAATTCTGAACAGCCATTCATGACTTCTGTGACCTTCCCTCCCACCGCTCTCTTCCAGGACTAACAGGTAGTGTGCCTTTTCCTGGTCTGCTCACCTGATAGCACAGACCAGTGTAAAAGTACCTGCGTAAGTGCAGTGCTCTAATGTAACTATTTACGTAGAGGATTTATACTTTTTACGTCAGGGATTTAATTTGGAGAAGAATCAAAAGCTAAAGCAAACACTGATTGTTTCCTCAGGAATTTCTGGCTCACAACCCCTCTCTGACTGAGATCAGATCAGAAATTCTGCACTATGCCACCTTTGAACAGGAGATTGATGAGCTGAAGCCTGTCATCATTGTAGGAGCACTCGAATTGCATACAGGTATTTAAACATATTGCGTAACGTATCTGTATTTTCACAGGAAGCGTCACTTAATTTAGAAGCAGTCATTAAGCTACCTTGGTACAACAATCTAAATGTTAAATATTTCTGGACCACCAATACTGTTCATGTATGTGTTACATATAATATGTATGTGATGTGATATATTCTGTCTTTTTATATATAATATTATACCACGGTGGGTTAACACACTTAATCGGCAGCACAGCTCCTCGATTGGCAGTCAAACAGCTGAGGATAAGGTGAAAGTTTTTGTGAGGAGGGGTTGTATACCTGAGCTAGGAGTCAAACAGTTTGAAGTCTCCTGAAAAGTTAAACTGTTTGGGATTAGAGCATCAAAGGGTGATGAAGCAGCCACTTCATTGTCTGAAATAAAAGCCCAAAATGACTTCAGTGCTTCCTGAAGTGAGGGAGAGCTGGGCTGGCCAGGCACAGAGCTCCCTGCAGAGCAGACTGGAGGTCTCACGTTGTGGACCTAGAGTTTACATCATCTGTAGAAGGATGCGTGCTTGGGTGAGACTATTGCTGATTGGTTGGCACCCAGAGGCGGGTGTATTGAGTATGTTCCTCCTGATTGGTGGACATTCAGAAGAGAGGGGCTGACACTGATTGACTTGCAAAAGTATGTGAACTAAGGCGAATTGGTCTATGGTTTGAGTTTAAAACTGGTTGTGGTGGCGACTTGTTGCCATGGTTACAGAGGTACAATCAGTTTTGTCTTAAGTTTGTGAGATAATTATTCTCAGAAGATATTTGAATGACCTATTTTGCATCAACTAAACCTACTTGAGCTATGTTGAAGGGAGAAAAGGTATATCCCATACGTTTTCACATCTATGCTCAAGGAATCAATGTAACTGTGGCTCTCAATTTTAACTACCAACATTACTTGACCCCTTTTCTGCTGGTGTAGACAGTACCCACCTCATGAGCTATTTTATATACACTTAGCATGGTACCTGGCAAATAGTTAAGGTCCAATAAATATTATATACTATCATATCTACGAAGAGGGGACTTCATTTGGAGAAGAATCACAAATACTTGAGGGGATTATTTAGCTAGAAACAGAAACGATATATCAAGGGCAATCATTACAAGAACTTCGGTAACGTTTTGGAAACTGTACTCTACCTATTGTTTTAATGTTCTATTTGTTCCCTTGTAGTGGTGAGCACTATGATACTTAATACAAAAATTAACTGTAGCACAGTGTTCTAGTTGGCCAGGTACTTGTCTTAGAGGGAGAAAACTGAAAATGGGATAGGTGAAAACAATTATAAAGAAAGGGGAAGGGAGGCTGAATCCCTGGGGCCCGAGGAAAAGGAGAAAAGAGGCCCAGGAGGTGCGGACCTTATGAAATAGGATCTCACAGCCTCAGTCAACAGCTGACCCTGTGTGTCTTGTCAGGGTACACTTTCCTCAGCTCCCGAGTCCTCTCAGTTTAAGTGTTAGGCGTTGAGAGGGGAGAGGTTGTGTTTCCAGTTTGGCAGGGCTGAGGAGCTGAGGGGCACCGAGAGGAGAAAAAGGAATGGGTAAGGATAGAGAAGGTAGAGTTGACTAGTGAGGACTGTTTTTAAGGAACAGAAACCTACTTGAGCTATGGTGAAGGGAGAAAAATATATTCCAGAATCCAAGGTGCAATTGGGCTTTCGGAATGGACCAGAACCAGGGACAGTATAGGAAGCTGAGGAAATCCTTTCTCTCTGACTCATTTCTTCTCCCCTCTGTGCATGACTTTCCTGCTTTCCAGTCAAGGGGGCTCCCCTTAAGTCTTATTCCAGACTCTCAAGAACAGACTCTGATTAGTACATGTAAGGTCAAGATTGACTGGGACCATCAGCGAGGCCCAGGTTCAGGGTCAGGTTATACACATTCTCTAGCCATGTGGGTGAGGTAGGAAGTGGAATAACAAGAAAACAGGAAGGTTTGGAAGACAAAAAATATATTACACTGTACTGTGTGGGGTTACCTAGAAGAAAATGGGGTGATGCGTGAGGGCCAGAAGCAGAGCAAGGTTCACGTTGGACAGTGCTAGAAGTAACTTCTGAAATTCTTCTCCATAGACTTTCGTGTCCTCTTGCACAGCTTAGCTTACTCCACGGGGATAGGAATTAAATCTTCAGAACTGAGCAACCTTACAGCACATTCAAGTCGAACTAACTACTTTTCAAGTGCTCAGTAGCCATATGTGGCTAGTGGCTGTCAATGGGACAGAGCAGTTATAGATGCTCAGATTACACTTAAAATGAATCGTTTCAGAATGTCAGGTGTATTCTATTTTGATCTTTTCTTGTCTTCACCAGAGCCAATGAAATTGGCCTTATCAATTGAGGCTAAGGCATGGAAGATGTTACTCTGTCGATACCTGAATGAAGAATACAAAAAGAAAATGTCAGACATGATAGCATTTATTACTGAATACTTGAAAAAGTTATCTAGACCCATTCGTGATTTAGATGATGTCAGGTTTGCAATGGAAGCCTTGTCTTGTATCCGTGATAATGAAATTCAAATGGACATGACTTTGGGACCAATTGAAGTAAGAAATGATTGCATTTTTCATTCTTAGAGTGCTATTAAAAAATTGAGACACACTAAAAATGGATTCTGTTAACATATTTCATTATGTTATGGTACAGTCTGTCTATTTCTCCTTTCTGATGTTGATTTCTTTGGAGGTATTTTGACAATTATCATCAGTGAACAGTAAACAAGGGAATAGTAATATATTAATAATGATGTACGGGTCTAGACAGTGTGCATTTTATTTTATCCCGGCGCTGACCTTTTACAGAAGGGAGTGGTTGCACTGTCTCACACCAGTCCTAACATCTTAGGCAAGTTCCCCAACTATCTTTGTCTTTCCTTAGAAACCAGGTCTAGGTCTCACTCATGGCCAGTGGCATACATGGGCAGCACGGTGGGAGTGGTCCACTTAGGCTTAATGGTAAACTGCTGGAATTTAGACGAGCAGATGTTTTTAGGGAAGAGTACTGTATTCACTTTCTTTTGCTAATACAAGAACAAATTATCATAAATTTAACGGCTTAGAACAAGGCAGATTTGTCATCTTAGCGTTCTAGAGCTCAGCCATCTGAGAATGGGTCGATTAGGGCTAAAATCAGGATGTCAGCAGGGCTGCACTTTTGGAGGCTCGAGGGAAGAAGCCGTTCAGCTCCTAGAGGCTGGCGGCAGTCTTGGCTCATGCGCCTTCCAGCAGTGGCATCTCTCCTGCTCTGCTTCTGTCCTCACGTCTCTGACTCCCACTTTCCTGCCTCCACGGTTCCTTTGTGTGGACCTTACGATTACATTGGGCCCACACAGCCAACCCAGGATAATCTCCCAGGATAATCAAGTTGCTTAACTTAATTATCCCTGCAAGGCCCCCTATGCTGTGTAAGGTAACATCATCACAGGTTCCAGAGATTAGGATGTGGACAATTTGGGGGAGACCATTTTTCTGTCTACCATAAGGGTTTTGTGACTAATATTTAGAAGTCACGGTTCATGGTGATAATAAAAATCAGACTTTTAATTCATTTTATTACTGTTTTTTAAATTCTCTATAGACAGTGCACTCCTTCATTGCCTGCATTTCCAATGCCTCCTTTTGGTACCCAATCTCATGGCTGAGCATAGCTTTCATATTTTTATATGTATTTCAGAGGAAGGGAGAGGGGAGAGACACAGAAACATCAGTGATGAGAGGGAATCATCTGTTGGCTGACTCCTGCACTGGGGATCGAGCCCACAACCTGAGCATGTGCCCTCGCAGGAAATCAAACTGTGACCTCCTGGTTCATAGATTGTGATCAACCACTGAGCCACACCAGCCAGGCCGAGCATAGCTTTCTTTTCTTCTTCTTCTTTTTTTTTGAGCATAGCTTTCTTGATCCTATTTAGAGGTTATACTTTTTGGTAGCTCATGAACTTCATACCTTTATTACTTCTTTAAATATTAACATTTGGGATTTTGGATGCTGACCACCCATTCCTCAAGATTTAGCAAATCATCATACCATTTTTCCCCTAACTCCAGAAGCTCGATTCTTCAATATAAATTCTTTTGGTAAAAGCAGTTGCTAATCCATCTCTTTAATCATTCAAGTTCCTGTTCTTTGGAGTATCTCTCCCGTCATCATTTCATTCCATTCCTTGTATAGCCAACTCATATTTTAATAGAGCACGAGACAGTATTTTGCATGGTGTTGACACAAGATCAAGTAGGAGAGAGAGGCAGAAAATGACTCTAGGGATTATTTTCTAGGGTAGAATCTCCATGTGATCTGCCTACAGCTCCACCAGAATCACCTAGGTGCTTTTTACATGCAGATTTCAGGGTCTTGGATTTAAGTTAGTACCAATGTCAGCGAGAATCGAGAGGTGCTTCTTTCCATGTTTAGTATTGGAGACAAGTCTCCTGAGTGTGCTGTTTTCTGAGACATGGGACTATGTTTCCAGAAGGCATCTAAATCATTTGACAGTGGCTTCCCTTGTGATGTTTCTGAACTCACCCTCCCTCCACAGGAAGCCTATGCTATTCTAAACAGATTTGAAGTTGAAGTAACCAAAGAAGAATCAGAAGCAGTTGATACCTTGAGATATTCTTTCAACAAATTGCAGAGCAAAGCTGTAAGTACAAACTTAATTCTTATTTTTTACTTATAAATTCTTATGTAATTCTTAGAGTGACTGGCTTAAGTCACTATCTCCAGAAAAACACACACACATTTCATAGTTTTAAAAAGATATATATATTTTATTTTAATCACTTTATTGATATACTAGAGCAGTGGTTCTCAATCTTCCTAATGCCACGACCCTTTAATATAGTTCCTCAGTTTGTGGTGACCCCCAACCATAAAATTATTTTCATTGCTACTTCATAACTGTAATTTTGCTACTGTTATGAATCGTAATGTAAATATCTGATATGCAGGATGTATTTAGGCGACCCCTGTGAAAGGGTCGTTCGACCCCCAAAGGGGTGGCGACCCACAGGTTGAGAACCGCTGTACTAGAGGCACGATGCATGAAGATTCGTGCAAGAATGGGCCTTCCTTCTCCTGGCTGCTGGCACTGCCTTCGCTCTGGCCGGAGCCGCCTTTCTGCCTTTGATCTGGCTTCCCACGCTGCCCAGAGGCTCAGAGTGGCTGGGGCGGTGTGGAATGCCTGCGTCATCACTATGGCGACAACGCAAGTGCCCTGCCCCACCCTGCCACTCAGCGCCTGCGTATGCAAATTAACCCACCATCTTTGTTGGGTTAATTTGCATACTGATTGGCTGTGGGTGTTGCGAAGGTATGGTCAATTTGCATCTCCCTCTTTTATTAGTGTAGATAATCCACATGAAATTTATCATTTCACAGTATACAATTCAGTGATTTCTACTATAGTCACAGAGTTGTACAAACACCATCACTATTTAATGTTAGAACATTTTCATCCCCCAAAGAAACCCTAAACGCATTAGCAATTACTCTTTATTTTCTCACTACAGCCTCTAGCAACCACAGCTCTACTTTCTATGTATGGATTTGCCTTTTCTGGATATGTAATATACATAGAATCATACAATGTGTAGTCTTTCGTGACTGGCTTCTTTCAATTAGCATAATATTTTCAAGGTTTATTTGTATTGTCTTGTGTAGCAGTACTTTATTTTACTAATGGCTAATGATGTTGAGCATCTTTCCATGTGCTTTTCAGTCATTTGTACATATTCTTTGGAGAAATATGTATTTAAATCCGTTGTTTTTAAAATTAGGTTATTTCTTTATTTTTGAGTTATCAGAGTTCTTTATATATTTTGGATATAAGTCCTTTATCAAAGAATTTGAAAATATTTTCTCTCATTCTGTGGATTGTCTTTTTACTTTCTTGATAGTGTCTTTTGAAGTAAAAGGTTTTAATTTTGAAGAAGTCCAATTGGCATAATTTTTATTTTTTTGCTTGTGTTTTTGGTATCATATCTAGGAAATCATTGCCTAATCCAGGATCATGAAGACTTACTATTATGTTTTCTTAAGAAGAGAGTTTTGTAATTTTTTGCCCTTACATTTAGGTCTCTGATACATTTTGAGTTAATTTTTCTGTGTGTTGTGAGTTTTGGGTCCAACTTCATGCAAAAGCATGTAGATACCAGTTGTCTCAATGCCATTTGTTGAAAAGTCTATCCTTTCACCAGTGAATCGCCTTGGCACCCTGTTGACCATCAGTTGACCCTAAGTGGAAGGGTTTATTTCTGGACTCTCAATCTGTTGTGCATATGTGTACGCCTATGCCAGTACCATACTGTCTTGATTATTGTAGCTTTATACTATTTTTTTTAAAATTGTGGTAAAATACACATAACTTTAAAATTTACCATCTTAACAATTTTTAAGTATATACAGTTCACTGGTGGTAAGTATATTCACATTGCTGTGCAGTGAATCTCCAGAACTTTTTCATCATATAAAAACTAACTCTATACCCATTAACCAGCAACTCCCCACTCTCCCTTCCTTCAGCCCCTAGCATTCTACTTGCTCTCTCTATGATAGCATTTGACTACTTTAGGTACCCTCTAAAGTGGAGTCATACAATATTTGTTTTTTCGTGACTGGTTAATTTTAGTTAGTATAAGGTCTTCAAGGTTAACCCATGTTATAGCATGTGTGAGAAATCCTGTCCTTGTCAAGTCTGAATAATACTGCATTATATACATAGAACCACATTTTATTGACTTGCTTCCACTTTTTGGCTATTGTGAATTATGTTGCTATGAACATGGGTGTATGAATATCTCATTGAGGCCCTACCTTCAGTGTGTTTGGATCTCTATCCAGCAATATAATTCTATTTTAATTTTAATATAATTCCATTTTTAATGAATAATTCTGTGTTCCATCGCGGCTGCACCATTACATCCCCACCAACAGTGCACTTGTTCCAATTTCTCCACATCCTTGCCAACACTAGTTTCCTTGATAGGAGGCATCCGTATCCACTGTGGTTTTGATTTGCATTTCCCTAATGATACATGATGCTGAGCATCTTTTCATGTACTTTTTAACAATTTGTGTATCTTCTTTGGAGAAATGTCTACTCAAGTTCTTTGCCTATTTTTTAATTGGATTGTTTGTTGTTGAGTTGTAGGAGTATTTTTATAAGTTCTGGATGTTAACTCCTTATGAGATATATGATTTGCAATTATTTTCTCCCATTCTGTAGTTTGCCTATTCACTCTGCTGATTGTGTCCTTATAATCCTTTTTATTTCTGTAAGGTAGGTGGTGCTATCCTGCCTTTCACTCCTAGCTTTAGTAATTTGGGTCCTTTCTCCTTTATTCTTGGTTTGTCTAGGTAAAAGTTTATCAATGTTGTTGATCTTTTCAAAGATGAAACTTCAGATTTGTTGATTTTTCTCTATTGTTTTTGTAATCTCTATATCATTTACTTGTGCTCTGTTTTTTAAATTATTTCTTCCCTTCTGCTTGCTATGGGTTTAGTGTTTTCTATTTTCCTAGTTTGTTAAGGTAGATGGTTAGTTACTGATTTGAGATTATTAATGTATGCATTTATAGGTATATATTTCTCTCTAAGCATTTTTGAAATAGGTAAATATCTACATACCACAAATTAGACATTAAAAATGAACTCCAAGGGAATGTTCAGATTCTTTAAATATACTGAAAAATTTTATTAAATATTAATTAAATTAACAATGGCTTAATATTTATTGTGTATGGAAAAATTTGTCACTGAGGTTGAAGCAAGACATAGTAGCAGGGCATAGAGCTGAAATGGGGTCATGACTTGGGATTCCATCTCTGCTGTCAGCCAATTGGGTGATCATATGCAAGTTAATAATCTTTGTTTCTAAATTTCTTCATGTGGTCATTTAGGAATATTTTAGGAAATTTTTATATGCGGTTATGAGGCTCACTTTGAAGTAATGCATATAAAATAGTTTTATGCTCATGTCTATTTAAGTTCATGTTAAATATTGACTAATATGCTTGTTTTGAAAAATGTTTGCTGGTTAGTCAGGTGAGTGAGTCTTAGGAAGGAAGTGGGAAACACTCATTGAGACTTAGTGAAGTCCAACTTTCTCTTGTTCAATGGAAATAATTCATGTGAGTTGTTCTTCTATCTCTTCAACTGTTAGTGTTAAACCCACTGACCCATGCTCTGGCCGGTTTTCTCAGTAGTTAGAGCACTGGCCCTCTCACTGAAGGATTGAGGGTTCGGTTCCCCACCAAGGACATGTACCTGGGTTGCAGGTTCGATCCCCAGCCCCAGTTGGGGTGCATGCAGGAGACAACCAATCGATGTGTCTCTCTCATATCGATGCCTCTCTCTCTCTCTCTCTCTCTCTCTCTCCACACACACATACACATAGCCTACCCTTCCTTCCACTCTCTCTAAAAAAATCAATGGAAAAATTATCCTTGGGTGAGGATTAACAAAATAATTTAAAAAATAAAAATAAACCCACTGACTTGCCCTTTAGTAGAGGTAGACAATTCCATACTATAGTCATCATTAAGCTTAAAGTAGTGTATGTTCCAACCAAGATAGAGGCTATTGTTGAGAGCAGTTAAGGGCGGGGGCCTTGAAACCCCACTGCCAGATTTTGAATCTTGATCTTGCTTCGTACTGGTGCTGGACCCTTAAAGAAATTACTTAGCCTCTCTGTGCCTCAGTTTTCTCACTTGTGAAATGGGTATAATATTAATCTTTACCTCACAGGGTTGTTTTGAGGATTAAATATGATAACACATAAAGAGCCTGGCAGATAATAAGCATGAATTAAGTGGTATTATGATGGAAGGTTTAATAAGAAGTTTTGAAGACTATTGTGGAAAACATTTGCTATTTTTTTTATACCCAGAGTAATATCACTTTCTTTTAGGGAACAGCTCCAACCACTGCAACCATGTGAACCTACTAGAGGTTGCTAATCCGTGACCTTGAGCTGGCCCTAGAGACAGCATGTGACCCAGACTGGGCCCATAGAAGTAACTGTTTCCTGGGCTATACTGATGGCCTGAGACAGATCAGCCAGAAACTAACTTTCCTAACCTCAGTTAGAGAAGATGTCTTGGGTCATGAACTAGGATGATTTGAATCTCCAGTTAGTGCATTTGGTTCGTTTATTTCTGTGGGGTTTTTTTTCTCTCACTTTGCAAAAACATTGCAGAGATGTCTTTGTTCTTATGTGATATCTGTGGGGCAACAAACTTGCTGGAATAGAATTGTAGTTTTCAGTTAATATATTACTTTCACTCTCACATTGAGTATTCCTTCTTGTTCTAGGTTTCTGTACAAGATGAACTAGTTCAAGTGCAGCCAAAGTTTAAAAGTAATCTACTTGAGTCTGTGGAAGTTTTTCGTGAGGATGTAATGAACTTTGCAGAATCATATGAGTTGGTAATTTCAGTATTTACATACTCTGTGCTATTTGCTGGTATGTTTATATGAAATGGAAGTGATAGGCCCCAAGAAATACACTGTGATTTGTACATTGCATGTAAGAGGCTATATTTGCATATTCACACCAATCAAAAAGGGAAGCATGTTTTATAGAGTTAGAAAAAAGATTTACCTGCTAAAAGGAGCAACAAATTTAAAGATCCCGGAAGGAACAAAGGGTCTGGTTTTGCCCGTTCTCAGGCCAGAATCTCATAGTGGAAAATGTAATACAGTTGTTGAAAGGCTCTAAGAGACTGTAAATGCCCTAATATCAGGGTATTCCTCAACTGATCTCCCCCCTCCCCTCCGACACTAACTCTTAGAAAACTAGAGTGTCACTGAAAATAAATAATAAAAGTCATACTTGGTCAGTCCCACAGGCTGTTCAACCTGGAATAATGACTTACAGTGGTCGATCTCCAGATGTTAAACTCAGAAGTTGGATATATTCTTCCCTTTCTTTCAGTGATCACAACAGATCTGAATTCACAACAGATTTAAGCCTTTAGTGCTACTTATATAACACTTTCTTTTTTACATGTACCGAACTTATCTCTTTACTGCTGGTTGTATTAGTCAACATTTGACCGCCCAGTCATTGCTATCCTGGGAATCTGGTCTGTTATTGGCCCACCCATGACATTCATGACTGGACAGACTATCTGGGCTCCCTTTTGCAACTATTTTCTAGCTCATGCCAACAGAGACCGCCCACTGCTTCTTCCCAGTGTCCAACCTGTGCGCGTGTCTGTTTCCACGTGGGGCTGAAGAGCTATGGAAAGGAGGCTGCTCTCAGAGCTCTGTAATGGGAATTCTGATGCACAGCTGCAGCAGCATCACTCTTAAGTGAGATGGAACAGCTGTGGTGGTACAAACGTCATACAGGATGAAAGTTTGTCACCTTTTTAAAAAGAGGAGATCACAGAGACACAGTGACTAACTGTGATATGGGATCCTGGATGAGGTCCTGGAACAGAACACAGACTTCAGTGGGAAAACTGAAGAAGTCTGAATAAAGTCTGCTTAATAGTCTTGTACCAGCATTAATTTTCAGTTTTGATAAATGTACCATGTTAACATTATGGGAAGCTGAGTGAAGGGTATATGAGAGTTCTCTTTGCAATTCTCCTGTAAGTTTACAATTTAAATTTTTTTTATAAAAAAATAGCATCTGCTTATTCTAACAAGTCAAACCAAATGGGAACTATTAAGATTGTCACAATTTAAAAATGAATGAAAGTTGGAGTGATCCAATGTTCTAAAGTTAATTGTGGTCATGGTTATACAACTCCATTAAACAAAAAATATTGAATTGTACATATCTCAAAACTGTTACAAAAAATAAATGGAAACTTCATGTACAGGACAAAGTTAGACCATTTAAATTTAAAATACAGTTTATTTACTTAAAAGAAAATAATAGTTAAATCCAGTAAATTAATAAGTATATATGATTAGGAATTAAAATGGAGATTATATTATTCATTATAGGAAGGACCCATGGTTCCAAATATACCACCCCAAGAAGCTAGCAACAGGCTACAGATATTTCAGGTAAAACTATGTTTTTTGGTAATATGTAAAACTGCATTTTTTGTTACACATTTGGCAATGTGTAGTGATTTTTAAAAATGCTTTTAGGAAAAAATTTCTGCATTTTATCTAAAATGGAATGTTAATGTTTAAAGTAGATATAGATTTTAATTGTATGCTAATCTACTAAATCATATAATTGATTCCTTTTCTTGTGTCCCTCCATGCTCTTTCCCACAGAATATCTCTTTGTATTTTTAGAAAATAAGACTTTAATTTTGAATTTAAGTGTATACCTTATTCTAGTTCCAAGCATTTCATTTGTATGTAAAGTGATAAAAATTACAGAATAATAAAGTCCTATATAATAAATGGGTAATATGAAAATTGACCCTAATGGTGGAACAATCTGTCACTATGATGTGCACTGACCACCAGGGGGTAGATGCTCAATGCAGGAGCTGCCCCCTGGTAGTCAGTGCACTCCCACAGGGGGAGCTCTGCTCAGCCACAAGCTAAGCTCATGGATGTGAGTGCAGCGGCGGTGGTGGCGAGATCCTCTCCAGTCTCCTCAGCAGCGCTAAGGATGTCTGACTGCGGCTTAGGCCTGATCCCCTGGGGAGCGGGCCTAAGTTGGCAGGTGGACATCCCCCGAGGGGTCCCTAACTGCGAGAGGGTGCAGGTTGGGCTGAGGAACCCCCCCCCCCCCAGTGTGTGAATTTTCGTGCACTGGGCCTCTAGTGTATCAAAAAAGATTTTAAATATTAATGGTTTGTCCTCTCTCTGTATCCATTAATTTTCTTCCTTCTGTATCCATCACTTTCAACTTCCCTGCTCCTTTGTCCTGCCTGGGACCATACAATACTCCTTGAGTCAGGCCACCATTCACTGTCTTTTTCTGCACTCAGATTGCTGCACAGCTAGAGAAAAGTCACACACTTGTTTGATAGATGCTGTGCAGATTCATGGATTCCTATCTAAGCCAGCTCCCCGAGAGCATCAGGAATTCTTTGGTTTTTTCTGTTCTTGCTCCTGCTTTCTGCAGTGGCTGTTTGAAATGTCCATGTTCTCCTTATGTTCCCTTTTCCACCTGCATTCTTAGTTATCAGATGTCTACTGTGTGACTTGATAGATAGGAAGATGGTTAAGAAATGGTTCTTTTACCTCTAAGCTGCTAAAACCTGGTAGGGAGACAGAGAGCTAGAGAAACAATCGCAGCACCGTGTGGTGAGCACTGTGATCTGGTTATGGGAACTCGTGGTATGCAAACAGGTGTAGGAGCTCCCCACCCTGATGAGGGCTGGTCGGGCAAACAGGGAGGGCACCCCGGAAGAGGAGGCATCCAAGCTGCATCTTGAAGGACTAATTAGACTTAGCCAGGAGAAGGAGGAAAAATAAGTTAGGCAGAATTTGTGGCCCCAAATGAGGAGATAAGCAGAGAGCTTTAGGGAGACGTAAGGAGTGTAATGTGGGGTGCCGTGGGCAAAGAAGGTAGTAATGAGGGAGGGGGAGCTGTGTGGGCCGCGATCACTAACGGGAGGGCCTTGCAGGCTATAATGAGGAACTCTAGCCTATCCCGAGGGCTGCAGGGCTCCGAGCAGGGAGCGATATAGTCAGATTGGGCTGGTACAGCAGTTGTGTTTTTAAAAGATCTCTCTGGCACCAGTGTGCAGAGTGGTCTGGAGGGAGGATGGCCTGGTTCATGGCAGTTTCACTAATACAAACAAGAAACGGAAAGACTGAGACCAAGAAGTGGCACTTGGAATAAAGAAAACTGGATGGATCATGAGTTAGTCAAGAGGCTGACTTAATAGGCTCGGAGCCTGGGTTGAGGGAAAAAGATCAGGTTTGGAGGAGTTTTTGGATTTTTTTTTTTTTTTGGATAGATGACCTTGTCTTTAAATTTACAGAGGAAATTTAGGATCTGAGATGTAATTTTCAGAGAGAGGAGCCCCTTCCTGTCCCTGAGGGCTCTCTACTCTCTCCCTGGTCTCTTCTGAGGTCGACCCTTTTTCTTCTGTACTTTCAGCCTCTTCCTCTTTATTAAATCTTCTTAGTTAGCATTTAAAACTGTTTGTCTTTTCTTCTTAAAGTACAGTGACAATAATGGCCACCTCTGTGTCCTGGACCTCCCTCCAGACCTCACCTCTCCTTTCTTTCCCGGCCCCCGTCCTGCCTGCGTTTATTCTCGGGCAGTTCATGGCCGTCCCACTGGGAGACGCAGAGCTGCTGTCCAGAAGCCGGTGCTTTCCTCTTGGCTAGGGCTCCCCACGCTGAGCCGCAATCTGGCCACCGGAAGGCGTTCTGTAGCTCCACCACGTGCGGGGCGGAAGGTGGTGGTGGGGGGCCGTTTCTAAATGTCCCCTTACCTCTGCCAGGAGTTCCTTTACGTCACTTGATAACTGGGTTTCACCCAATCAAGTGAACGGAGGAGTGGAGCCAGCAACCTGTTCTTGCCGCCTTATTTTATGTTCCATGGCTGGTTTGGCTGGTGCCATGCAGCCTTTCACCAAAAAGGTTCAGTCAAGTTAGATGAGTCTCTCAGTTGCAGGTTCTTCTGAAAGCAGGAGGGGTCCTTCGGGCTTTCCCCATCCTAACCAGCTGGAGTTTCTCCTGTGGCATCTAACTTCCAAGTAGCTCCCTTGATGTGAATGTTTTAAAATAGAACATCGATACTATGACGAGAAGAGTGTTTCCTCATCCCTCGTGGGATAACCGTGCGAAGCAGATGCAGTCACCTGCCGGAGCCCAGGTCTCCGCCGCCTGGTTCCGGGAAGGCCTAGCCCAGGCACGCGCGTGGGTTGCATAAAGGAGGGTGCCTTGTTGGCGAGCGTTTCCCTGGGTTGCAGCAGGCACACGCCTTTCACTTACATGTGACGTCCTCAGACAAATAGTCAAGTGCCCCGTTATTGTCACGATTCTCCTCTCCCCAGAAATATGGAGGTCACTCCTGGACTAACACCAGCTCCTCCCAGCACCCTTGCCAGCACTTTCTCCCGGACCCTGGAGGAGGCTCTGGTCTTTTGCTAACTGAAGTCCTCGGGTTTGGACCCAAAGTGCCAGGGAAAGGCCTGTCTCTCTGGAGGAGCCAGGACGAAAACCGGCCTGCTCACCTGGTTGCCGCCAGCTGAGCCAAGCGAAACCCCCCAGCCACAAAAGCAAAATGAATAATGAAGAGATAGTAATGTTGGATGATGATAAGTGCCCCTGGGGGGGGGGGGGGT